TGGCCTCTGTGGTGGTGGTTGGAGTCTGGAGTGTGTCTGCTGTGTTAGTAGTGTTTGTGCAAGGAGCAAGCAGAGCTCTTGCAATGCTGGCTGCGGATCTGCAGCCTCGATGTTGTGCTGATCAGGGAGGTTTGAGGATGAGGCATGCTGCTGTTGGGTACCAGCAGGGTTCTGGTCCATCTGGGCATCACTGCCTTGCAATGAGCGCTGTGCTCTGCAACCTGGGAAATGTACTGCAGTGCTGCTGGACACGAGGTCATCTGTGCCTGTTTGTAATCGAGGTTGGAGAGCACAGCCCTCTGTGCAGCTGTGCAACAGCTGAGGTGGAATTGTGCTGGTGAGAAAAGCACGCGGGCAATGGCTGCGTTGTTCTGCGTTCTGTCTCCCGCCTGTCCCTAGGAACAGAGGGGATCCTGTGTGTGTAATGCAGTCTCTGAAGGTTTGAATACTTTTTTCTGCTCTAACTAATCTTTTTAAAGGCTTGACAGGCTCGTGTTCTGTAATTGAATGCATTTTATTTAGAAAATAACATTTAGTGCCACTTTGGATTTCCAATTATTCTTCAATGGGGCTTTGAGGGCCTGACGCCTTTCTCATTTTGGTACTCACAAATGATGGTAACATCAGAGCAAGGAAACAGCAAATTGTCTGTGCTGCTGATTGCTGGGCTCGGGGGGAGCAGCAGGGTTGCACTGCGCCTCAGCGTCAATCCATTGAATGGAATGGCAGCATTGCACCAGCAGCAAACGTGCCATCACCCCATGCCACGGCTCTGTGCCATTGCCTGTCCTTTTCTCGCTGCCTTGTGCCACCTTTGCAGGCTCATGCCCAGCAGATGAGAGCAGAGGGACAATGCTCCTGAAGGCTGAATGGCTCCTGCAGGGCATTGCTGCCCTTTGGTGCTGCCCCAATCACAGCAGCAGACAGAGGTGAAGAGTAAGCGGGGATCCAGAGAAGATGGGGAACAAGGAGCACGACCAGTGATGTTCACTGCTCACCCAGAGCGCATCTCCTTCCTACCCCTGTGCCTGCCAGTTTTGTGAGAGAAGGACAAAGAGAGGAAGCAGATAACTGCAGAGGTTCATTTGCCAATGTCAGCTGCTGGTGTCTCAGAAATAGAGCCATCAGTCTGTCCCTCCTTAGTGCTGGGCTGTGCAGGCAGCTTTCTGCTTGCAGCATGGTTTATTCACAGCTCCCCATTTTGCAGGGAGGGCTCTCCTTTTCCCCCCTTTTTTCCCAGGGATGTCCCTAGCACCGCTGTGCCCCTCAAGTGCAGCTCCCCACAGGAGCTCTCCCATCCTCTGCCTTTGCATGGGTTGGGGTTTGCATCCTGTGGGACCTCCAGCCCTGCAGGAAGACACAGCCAGAGAGAAAATTCTGCTTGGAAGCACTGGGAGCTCCTTCATAGGGCAGGAGGGCATCAGCACAGTGCTTCTGCTGCCTCATCCCCATTGGGGTCAAAGCAGCCTTGGCCCCAGTACCCAACACTTGCACTGCTCTTTGCCCAGCATCTGGGAAAGGAATGTTGAGGGCTGCTGTGCAAACCAGCTGCTGTCTGAGCAGGCTTTGTTTCCAGTGTAAATCTGCTGTAGGGAATGATTTAACCTCTATTTGTTCTTTTCTTTGTATCATTTCATTAAATAAGATTTATACAGGTTTAGCACTGGAAGGATGGCCCATCCCCTGGGCTGGGGCAGAGCTGAGCACATTGCTCCTTTCCATGTCCCTGCTTCACGTGTTGTTTCAGGGCTGAAAACACAGAGGCTGCCTTTCATCCCCAGCAGATAAATGCCACCAAGCACTCAGGAACCACCTATCCCCGATCTCTTCATTAGCAAAGCTTCTGATCAGGTTCATTTCACAGTCCCTGGGTGGGAAGGAGGACGCTGAGCTGCAGAGCGCAGAGCGCATTGCTGCGAGCAGCAGCTTCCAAGTGTGCAATGCCTGGCTCCTGCACAGAAATGCAAGGACTCAGTGCTGTGATTGGGACCAGTTGCCCTCAATACTGGAGATGTTGGAGATGTGCTGGAAATGCTGCCTGGTGCTCGGGAAAGGAGGAGGGGGAGCTTCCAGCCCCGCTCTCAGCTCTGCAAGGTCTGCTGTCCCCCTGGGGAGGGATAAGCCGTGCGAGCGCTGGGAAGGGAGGAGGAAATGTCTTTTAACAGTAAATATGGCCTTGTTATTTATCAATGCAGAGTAATTGAAGTAATTTCATGTCGTTTTTAAATGCAGTGTCTAAGGATCTAATCTATCTGTCTAATATTAATGGGTAATATTTGGTTGCCTCATTCATTCATTACTGTTTTCATTAAGACTCTAATCCCATTTAGGAGTCTGTTTGTCATGTTAAACTCCTCTGTTTTATCTTAGCCTGCCACGATCCTTTTAACAACTTCACTGAATTCATGAGTTGTGGGCTGGCAGCTCGGGAGGGGCTGTGCAGTGGGTTCTATGAGGAGAAGGGAGCAGAGAGCTGAGGGCAAAGCAGCAATTTCAATAAGCGCAGCCCAGCACCATTTGTCTACTGAGCTCCAAACTATAACACCAGGCATAACTCCAGAATGGTGCAGAATTCTATTTTCACTTCTCGCCTGCAAAATAGAGAGGGAAAGAAGAAGCGTGCGCTTAATAATTATTCATCTTAACTCATTTCCTGCTCTTTAAACATGTTGGTGGCTGCAGGGAGCGTGCTGTGAGTCGCAGGGCACCAGGCAAGCGCTGGACGTGGGCCATGAACTGATGTGAGATGAAAGTTCACTGCATCCCTCTGATCCCCACACTGATCTCCACCTGAGCCCAGACATTTTGGCCTTTCATCCTTATTAATTAGTTCCCCAGAGGCTTGGGCTAATCAGCACAAAGGAGGGGTCCCAGCGGCAGGGCGGTCTCGCGGTGCCATTTGTCAGAAGTCGGTGCCAGCGTTTGGAGATGGCCACTCCTGGTGGCAGTGGTGATGCGTGTGGTTGGAGCCAAATGCTGCACACGTGTTGGGAAAATGCCCCACCGTGTGCTGCTGGGAATTGTGCTTACCCTGCTCAGAAAGTATCTGGATCCCTGCGCTTTGCCACTTCTCATCCTGTGAAGGTGATGATGAGGTTCTTCCAGCAGTGAAGCCACACTCACTGCAAATGTTGCTTGGATCAGAGTTGAAGGGACTTTGTCTGCATGCTCCTGCAGTGCTGTAATTAAAGAATCCCCCTGTAGCCATGGAAACGCTGTCCCTGTGCCCTCTCCCACTGTCTGCCCAATGCTGCAGGTGTCCATGGACACTCAACTACCGCATGGAAAGGCAGAGCGTGACCCTGCTCCATTCCAGGACCTAAAGGATGGGGGTCGTTTTGCTCTAGGGTGCTCTACAGTGCTGCTGGGGGGCTCCTTGGTGCTCCTTCATTCAAACTTGCTTCCCTTTTGCTTTCCTTCCATCCCACTGCTGCCCTGCATGAGGCACTGTGTGTCTGTCCTGGGTTGCAGTGGTGTGAGCTCAGCTCCAGCTCTGCTCAGCACAGGGTGAAGTGGAATTTGGGGACCTGAGGTCCCTGCAGCACTGACCCAGACAGCAAGGAGGAGGAGCAGCGGGAAGAAAAGTGCCAAACTTTGTACAAACTCCTGAGAAAGTTTGGCTTTCCCTTGCCCTGTTACCTTGATGTGTTAACAGCTGGGACTGGTGAACCGGCGCTCCTGCCCACAGCTCTCTTGCAGCAGCATAAAGCAGTGGCATTGTGGCATGAATGAAGACAAAATCACAGTGGAAAAGTTCATCAAGCCTGGGCTCCTGCTGGCTGAGTGATAGATAGCTTTAATGGCACAGAGCTGGCCAACACCACCCCATTCAACACCGATTTCCCATGAGCTGTGCAGTGCAGTGGGAATGGGGCACATGGGCTGAATGAGACCCCACTCTTCTGCACTCCTCCCTGCACATTTCCCCAGCATTGCAGCTCTCCGTGCAGCCAGGCTGTGTGCATGCATTGCTCCCAGCTCCCTCACACACGTCCCACTCTGCTCAAAAAAAAAAACCCAACCCCTGCACGATTTTTGTTGTAGGCAAAGCTGTCGAGTAGGGCTCAGGAAACAAGAAGAATAGCGGCCCTATTGGTGTCATGTTTAGAGAGGAACTGGGTTCTCACTGTGTCAACAGCACTTGGCGTGACAGCAGCCTTTGTGGGATGCACACTGCTCCTTTCAGGGCTCCCCAGCTGCTGCCAGCCGCAGTCCGGCCCCGTGCAGGAACTGCTCTTTCCCTGCCTACTTGCATATCTGGTTCCCTTCTTCTTTTGTGGAAGAAACGTTATGCCTGCACCGGTTTGAGGGATCCCAAAGCAGGAGCAGGAAGACAGCTTTTGCTATTGGGATTAGTGTGTGTTTATGAAGTATATAGGGTCCTTCAATTCCCCCAGCAGTGGGGAACCCAGCCAAAGCTTGCTAGAACCTCCCATCGCCATTAAATGGATGCACAGCTGTTGCTGTGCTGCTGCTCCAGGGCTGTCCACTGGGTCCCATTGGTGGAAATGGCCCTGTGCTGGAGGTGGCAGTGAGCTGTGAGCAGCCAACCCTCACTTGCTGCTCTGTGGGCGGCTGTGGGGCAGTGTGCTTTGTTCAGCTCCATTCTGATTCACTGCAGTGCCACCTCGGCTGCAGGGAGGGGCTGCAGGAGCACCACACCTGGTGGGGGTGGTAAGGAACGGATTGAGATGGAATTGCACATCTGGGGTCAAGCAATGATTCATGGCCAAATCCCTAAATTTGAGCCTTTGGGGTTTTTAATGCTGATAAATGCATCAGGACTGTGCTGTGTCGTACTGATGTGTCCCACTGGGCTGGGTGAGCTGCACCCCACAGTTCCTGACAATTCAGCACATACTGTTGGCCAGCTTACACATGGGTGTCAGCCTGAGCTCCAAGTCTGTTAATTGCTTGTGTGTTGCTTAACTCACCTCCCCCACTCAACTGCTCTTTGCCAGCAGACCCACTGAGGCTGTGCTTGTCCCTTGTCCCTGCAGGTGTCCCGTGTGCCCGTGGAGTCCTGTGAGCAGTACACGACCTGTGCAGAGTGCCTGAGCTCGGGGGACCCGCACTGCGGCTGGTGCACCCTGCACCACACGTAAGTCAGACCATGGCAATGAAGCACCTCTCAGTGCTTCCCGTGCGAAAAGCAAAATGAGGCTGAAGTCCCTCAAATCCATCCTTCCCCTGGGTGTTTCCTGCATTGCGGTTTGAGTAGCATTGAAGATCCCTGAGCTCTTGAAGAATTCCTACTGTAGGAGAGTGGATTGCACGCAGCACGCAGGGAGGTGCCATGGGAGAGTGCAAAAAAAGCAGAATTGAAACCTGGGGGAGCAGAGCTGTTGCATTTTGCATGTCCCCCATTGCTCGAGCTGCAGTCCTTCCTGATTAATGGGGAATTTTTAGAGGTGAGAGTGAGTTTAATGATATGAGCACGACTTTGGAACGGGGAGCAGCACCGAGCCCTATTGAGCAGAGCTGGAAGAGCTGCTGTAACGCAGCGTGGTGAGGGCAGGGAGCAGCAGCTGCAGCTGTCCTGGGGGGCAGAACTGCACATCCCAGGCACTGCAGGGAGGGCCGTTCCCAGGGGCACTGAGGGAAATACGCTCTGCATTCAGGAGGTGTTTGGGCTCTTTCTTTCCCCCACCACCAGAATGATCACTTCCTATGGCGGAAGGGGGACCACCGGGCAAACACTGATGGGGGGGAGGAAGGGCAAACCCGGAGGATACAGGAGGAGAGGAATAGAAATCCCTCCGGCCCCGTGCCAGCTTGCAAAGTAGCCCCCTTACATGCATGGAAATCGGGGCGGAGGCAGAGCAGAGTTCAGGGCCCCGCACAATGATGCTTGGCCACATGCCTGAGCAGCAGGTGTTGGAGAGAGAGAGAGAGAGGAGGAAGGCAGGCTCAAATGCAAAATCCGGCCTGGATTAGGGACTTGCGTGCTTTGGGGTGCAAAACAGCTTCCAGTGCCCACCGGGGCTCGTTTGGCTTGCAAGGAGTTGGTGTTGCATTGAGGAAAATAGGGTAAAACCATTGCAGGAGCATCCCTGGTGCACCCAGCCCCAGTGCCATGCCTGCACCGTGCCCCCAGGTGGCATTCTGCACAGGGTCCCTGCTCGCTGCAGGCTGCAGGCAGGTTGGGTGGATGTGCCTTTGCTGCTACTCCTTGCACCCCTGTAGCAGCTCCTCTGCAAGGATCAGCGAGTGCTTTCCTGATACTAATGAACTGCATCTTCATGAGCCACCTGGGAAGCAGGTAAAGGTTGTTATCTTCATTTTGCAGAGAGAAAACTCTCAATGTCAAGAGGAGAGCAGAGTGCTGTTTCCTCTGCCCACTTGGCTGTGACATTTGGGCATTAGCATCCTCCCGCCAACACTTTCTTCCCTGATGTCAATTCTCAACCCTGCACTTCTTGCTCTGCTTGAAGCAACGATCATGTTTTTAGCCTTTGTCTTAAGGTGTAAATAATTGAGTTTATCTTGCTCTTCCTGAAGCCTCTGTCATATTTGTTGGGAGGCCCCAAGCGCTGGAGTGTTTGTATTTCATTTGTCATCTTTCTCCTCTAACTTGTGTGCGTGTTCCCCTCCTGCCAGCTGCTCCAGCTGCTCGTGGCTCAGTGAGGGCAGGCTGGGATGCTCCCGCTGTGCTCTGAGGGCTGCCAAAGTGTTTGTTATGGGGTCTGGATTGTAAACAGCGACGCATTGGATGTGTGAGATGGATGCAGGGAGCAGTGCCTGCTCCAGGTGTGCTGCTGTCAGAGCCTTGAGTTAGGGATTAAGGCTCTGTTGTATGGCGGGGTGCTTGCACGCACGTGTGCACACTGAGAATTGAAGAGCAGTGGTGCTCAGGAGTGAAACCATCTGTGGGGATTCCAGCAGTGCACACGTGTGGGTGACTCCATGGCATGGAGCTGCAGGGCTGGAGCACCCTGGGAGCATTCACTGCTTTGGAAGGTGCTCAGCCACCTGTATGTGGCAGGTGCTCGTCCTCCTGCAGAGCTCCCCAGCATTTTCCTCATGGAAGGAGGAAGGCTCGCTCCTCCTCCTCTCATTCAAGTGGTTCCTTGGGAGCAAGCAGAGGCCTCGAGGAGATCATTAAAGACTCTTTAGCCCCGTGGGATCCAAAACCCACAAGGCTCTTCCATATGCTGCTCTCTGCAAGTCTGTTATTGTCTACAGGCCTATTTATCTCTGTTAGGGCTGTTGCCATAAATAGTATGATAAAAAAGAGCCATTCCAGCGAGTCAATGAGATAAAGGCTCCAGTCAAGAGCTCACTTTAAAGCTATCTCAGAGATTCACTTAAACCTCAATAACTCTTCCTTTGGCAGGGTTCATATTTAGCTCCATTGTACTCCAAAAAAAGGGGCTGAGGAGAGCAGCAATGTGTGCTGGGTGTCACACTGGGTGCTGGGAGAGGACAGGGTGAACTTTGCTTTTCTTATTGGAACACTGATGGCACGCAGGGCTGTTGGCAGTGCCTGCATCCCCCGACCTCTGCACCACGACAGTGAGCAGGGTCTGAGATGCTGCATGAGAAATGATGAAGTTTGCTGGTAGTTGGTTAATGCATCAGGAGGGCACTGTGTCACCTGCTGCTGGGGAGTGGGTTTTGAAGAGAGAGATTTTGCCCAAATGACATGAAATAGAAAAAACCCCGAGGGACCCCAGTGCTGTGCTGTGTGGTATCTGTCAGACACATGCACAGTCCTTCCCTGCCTCCCCAGTGGGCACACTCCAGTACCCCTGGCATTAACTCAGGCACACGTTTCCCTGCAGCAGCTGTAGCTGCAGCCATGGCACTGCCATACTTTCCATTTCGGAGCTGTTTCTGTCCTTTCCCTGTTCTCACACTGGACTCGTTTTTTGTGTTTGAGCCCAATTCTGCATCAACGTTTCATTGTGCTCTGAGGACACCTGCCATAGGAAAATAGGGATCATGGGATGCATTCCTGAGGGTAGGAACAGGAGGGATCTGGGAGCGGGGCAGGACAGCTGGTGAGGAGCAGCCTGCAGCCACCAGAGAGGAAATCCCTGCTGCTGGCACAATGCACTCCTCAGCACCAGGAAAAGACAATTAACTGCGTGCTTTTGTTTTAATTGGAATGGAGGCATCACCTTGTTACTACTTTACATTTTATTTTCTATGCATCTAATGAGTTTATGGCTTGCAGGAACGAGGTGTGCAGAACCCTTTGGTCCTAACCTGGCAATCCATGCCTGGTCCTGGGCAGAACATCACCCGCAGTCCTTCCCCTACCCAAAACTCTGCTCACCTTTCAGCTCCGTGCGCTGATGTGCGTTGCCGTGTGCTGATGATGTGCACTGCCATGTGCTGATGATGTGCACTGCCATGTGCTGATGATGTGCACTGCCATGTGCTCCCCAGGTGCTCCCCAAGGGACAGCTGTGAGCGGGCTGACGAGCCGCACCGCTTTGCCGACAGCATCGGGCAATGCATGAGCATCATGGTGCAGCCCAGCAGCATCTCCGTGTCGCAGCACAGCCTGCCGGTAAGCGCTCCACTCTCCAGCCTTTCTTCCCTTCCCACTGCACAACTGTTTTCCCATGAAGTCAGGCTTGCAGAGGGATGGGTTAGGAGAGCCAAGGGGGGAGAATGGGGTGCAGGGATGACGGCAACAAATTCCCCCTTCCCCATGGGCCCCAGCTCACATTTCTCTCGATCTGGTTTCATGAACTGTTGAAAGGAAAGGCTTTGTTTCCCCAGAAGCTGTGCCCAGTGCTGGCTCTCTGAACGTCCCAGCTGCTTCTCCTGAGCTCCCGGTGCCCGTGGATGGGCTGCAGCAGCTGCAGCCTCTCCTGGGACCGGACTGCATGGGGAGCTCACTGCTGCTGCAAGTGCTGGGAGCTGCTCCTGGCTGTGCAGATTCCTGATGCAGTTGAGGGTAGCAGGGGTTTTGTAGAGCAAGCAGCTCCCTGAATTGCAAAGGCTCAACGAGGCATTTGTGCATCATTAAACTGTGCATCATTGAATGCCATCCAGAGGGACCTGAACAGGTTCAAAAATCAGGCCCACAAGAACAGATTGTGATCCAACAAAGCCAAGTGCAAAGTGTTGGCTTGGGGTAATCCCAAGTCTTTGTACAGAGTGAGGTTTGAAGGGCTCAGTCCCAGCAAAGCAGCAGTCCTGACTGCATGGAGCGGGTCAGGGCTGTCCCACCAACACGCTGCTGCTGTTCTGTGCCCCCATGCAGCTCAGCCTGCTGGTGAGCGATGCCCCAGACCTGGCTGCTGGTGTCACCTGCCTCTTTGGGAACCTGACAGAAGTAGAGGGCCAGGTGGTGGGCAGCCGAGTTGTGTGCGTCTCACCGGCTGCGAGGGATGTCCCAGCCATACCCGTGGATCAAGGTGAGCAAACAGCTTTGGATTGTTCCTCCATTACCGTCGCCGCTGTCATACTTGCTCTTTCCATAAAGAAAGAGACTTGCTTAAAACTCATTTTCTCCTTGGCGTCCTTCCAGGTGTGTCAGCTGTGCTGATGTCTTTGTGTCTCTGTGACACGGTATGGAGACTGAGAAGTGTTCAACTCAGGGAGCCAAGGCTTGCAGTGGTGGCAGGGCTACTGCAGGAGTACCACAGCCCAGCAATCTGCTCTTAATTAACCCAAGGCTGAGGCTCCCAAAAAGCACTGCTGAGACTCCCAAAAAGCACTGCTAACAGCCTTGCTTCTACTGTTATCTCCAACTCTTGGGCTAGGCTGAGTTATTGTGCTTTTGTACAAGAGGCAGAATTCCAATATGGAACGGGATGTCATCCCAAACTCGTTTCAGCTGTGTCCTAAGGCAGATTCCCCACCCCTCATATGCATTTTGCTATCTGCTCTTATCTGTGTCCGAGGATTTGTGGCTGAATCCCCTGTGTTCCCCTGTTTCCTCTGGGCACTGACTGGCTCTGTCCTGCTCTGCAGACTGGTTCGGTGTGGTGCTGCAGCTGAAATCACAGGAGACGGGGAGAACGTTTGTCAGCACGGAGTTCAAGTTCTACAACTGCAGTGCCCACCAGCTGTGAGTGCCCACCCTCCTTCCTGGGGTGCAGGGGGGGATCGTAGTGGGATGGGGTGCACCCTTCAGCCAGGTGCTTTGTACCTGCTGTGGATGGAAGCTCCAGCTCCCTGCCCTCTGAGCAGCCTGCAGCTCTCCTGCCTGCTGAGACAGAGGCTGCAGGAGCCTGAAAAAACCTTAACCTGCTGGTGCCCCCAAGCTGCTCCATCCTGCAACTGTGAATGTGGATGCTCTCAGAGGATGAAGCAGAACCAAGTCCAGGATGTGGGCTGGGAGCAGCAGGGCAGAACCCAGCACAGCAGTAGTGCTGGGTTGGAAGGCTCCGTGCTGCTTTGAGCACAGTATGTGCTGTTCAGCCCCCTGCTCTGCTCACCCTGGCAGGCACACACATGGCTGTGTGTGAGCATCTGAAGTGTTTATAGATTTCTCTTTGGAAGCACAGCAAGCATCAAAGCACCCAAATGAAAGGCACACAGGACCTGGCATGGGTCAGGCAGCGAGTAGCAGTGCCTGCAGGGTGGGCTGTGTCTCCCACTGCAGGGCTCAGCTCTCAGCTCTGCTTTTGGAGCTCTGGTTTGCTGCCCGGTAGGAGTTGAGAAGTGCCAGCATGGGGTCACTGAGAGCCTTTCTGCCCTGGATTTGAAGCCCTGAGCTATGGGAAGTTCCCTGCTGCACTTGGAAGAGGGCTGTGTGCTCTGATGAGCTTGGCTAGCAGTGGGTTTTTCTAGGCATGCATTCAATATATGTTTTTTTTACTGCAGAGGCACCGGGATGAAAGAAGCCCTGAGGGTCCTCCAGCCCCCACTGCTGCCTCTCCCGGTGGTCTGCATCCCCTGCTCCAGTGCCTCTTGCTGTGCTGCAGTTTTGCACTGCTCTGTTCTTGCCCCCTGTCCCTCAGTGACAGCATTCCCTGCTCCTGCTGGCACTTACAGTCCTGTCTGTGTCTTTGCTGGGTCCTCAGATTTGCCTGAGAGGTGACTTTATAGGACCCCTATTTTCTCCTCCATGTGGAGGTTTGGATCAGGAGAGGCAATGCATCTTTTCTGTCCCTTGGCTCCGTCTGACCATGCCTTTCTCAAAGCTCATGTTTGGAGATAAAGTGTGAACATGGTTGTAAATTCTGTAGCGCTTACATCATCCTGAACTCATTATCAACCAGTTCAACAAGGGCACGAGCCAGCCTTGCAGGAATGAATCACAGCACGCATAAAGCAGAAAGGAATACAGGCCTGAGCCAGCATAGGAGGGGACCTGTTGATCAGAGACCCTTTCCTGCAGCATGGCAGAGCAGGCAGGGGAGCAGCTGTGGTTGCACAGCAGCATGCACAGGGACATGGTGCATGGAGTGTGCACCCTGCAGGCATCTGGAGCTGCTTGGAGTGGTAGAGAGCTTTGTGCCCGGTCAGGAAGGGGGTAGGTTTTGCAGACAGCTTTTGCTAGACACTGTGTTGGATGCAGGTATTGTGAGATCACCAGGCTCAGCTCTTGAGTGTGTGAATTGTCATGGTCAGGGACCTTGCTGGCGGCTTTTGCTTTAAGTTTTCACAAGATAAGGAAGAGATGCACTGGAGACATGGAGTCATTCTTGAAGCAAAGGAGAGGCAGCAGTCCTTAAAGCCAGATCAGATTGAGAGGCCGTGTTCTGGCTCAGGACTGGCTCACCCCTTGCAGCACGGGGCTCCCAACCTGGTAACCCCCCTTCTTTTCTCCCCCAGGTGCCTCTCCTGTGTGAACAGTGCTTTCCGCTGCCACTGGTGCAAGTACCGCAACCTGTGCACCCACGATCCCACCACCTGCTCCTTCCAGGAGGGACGGATCAACATCTCAGAGGTACCACGCTCTGCCTTCAGCTCTTTCTTGGTTGCTTTTCCTGTGGCACCATGAGCAGAACCAGCGCTGTGTGAGGCTGTTTGACTTCTGTCTGGTTTTGCATCTGGAAATGTAGCTGCAGCAGGAGCACAGCAACCAAGTGTTGGTGCAGGATGAGTGATGTGCCTCAGCCTGAATGCTGAAGCTGATGCTGCCTTCAATACGTGGGTCTGCTCAGGTTCAGTAATAACCGTAATTAATCTTTTAATTGCTGTAGTGCTTTCCTTTGGGATCTCAGGGGCTTTACGAAGCATGCAGGATCTGCCCAGCAGTGAGAGCAGCGGAGAGCTGCTGGTGGGACTCATGGTGCTTCATTTTGTGGCTGCTGGCAGCTCTGCAGCTGGGCCTGGAACCCAATTGCAAATTGATTAAGAAAGGAATTACAGATGCAAAGAGCCCCAGACTTTGGAAAAGAGAATTGCTTCAGGTTTCAAGCGCTGAGGACCAGAAGCGATCTCTCTTAGCTGTTAATAAAAAGTGTGGGGCTCAATTCCAAGAATGCTTTTAACACTTAGAAGGAAGCAAAGCCTATTATCGGCTTTGCCAGGTCTTCTGTGTTTTCCAAGGTAAAGGGATCCGTGGAGGAAAAGAGTTTGTTAGCACTGATTCCTGATGAAAGTTACCACCAACTCTGCAATTTGGGACCTTTGCATCTTGTCCACTTCTTTGCAGCTGTACCCCAGCAGCAGTGAGGCTGAGGCAGAGCTGCATGGTGCTCTGCCATGGTTTCATCTAGCACAGAGCAGATGCAGCCGGGCAGGGTCTGGTCCTGGTCCCCCTGCCCTTACACAGAGCTGTGGGGCAGATGGAGGACTCCTAGGGACAGGATGGCCAATGCACGGTGCCAGCCTCATGCCACCCCAATTGGGGACCACGGGATGCACTCACAAAGTGCAGTGAAGAGTCTCATGCAGGGTACAGACATCCAAGGAGAAGTGTCTGCTCTGGGGAAAAACCAAAAGCTTTCCCAGTCCAGTTCAAAGCCAAGAGATTTCCTTTTAAGATAACAGGAGAAAGCAAAACCTTTGCTTTTGCTTCTCTCGAGGGGTGTGTGTTGTTTCTTTTTTTCTCCTTCACACTCAAAGCGTTGCCCTCTTCCCAGGCTGTACAATTGCAGTTCTCACTTTCATAGGTCTTCTGCCCCAGGATATCAGGAGTGTTTGACAAGTCTCTGCTAAAGTAGGACACGTCCCTTGCTTTGCTCCAGGAGTGCGTGAGACTTCCCAGCAGTCATGCCTCTGCCCATCCCTGCTGGGCTGATGGGCAGTCACAGCTCCAAGGCTTTGTCTTCCCCATTCTTTCAAGTTCTTAGCCAGGATGTTACACAGTAATATAACACCTGGCAATGATTTTTGATGAGGGCAAACAATAATGATGTAAATACTCCATTACTTATCACGACTTCTCTGTACCTCTAAACACACAGGTAAAGTCAACCAACCACCCAAACCCAAATGTTTGCTTATTTGAGGTGAATGAATGGCCACTAGTGTACACCAGGCTCTCCTAATGCCCTTACTGTGGGCATTCCATCCTGCACCAAATAAGTGCCTCCTGAAAAACTTCCTCTCCTAAAGCAATTCCAATCACAGTGGCCTCAGTGTATTGGCTTAACAGCATCTCTCCCTTTGAATCCCAAGGTCTGTTGTGCACAGAGTCCTCTGCAGAGCTTCAGCCTCCAGGGGTCTCATGTGGAGCTCTGTGCCTATGGCATCATGTTAGCATGTCCTGGGGGTTGGGTTTGTGCCTGTGTGGCTCATGGCTGTAGGATGTGTTGCTGTAAATGTACGAAACACAGAGATGAAGAGGAACGTGGACACAGACATATTTGTACACCCATCTCAATGGAGGGCTAGAACCAAATAAATCCTATTAGTTTCCCAGAATGTGGGATCCCTTCCTGCTTTGATGTGTGGATAATGCCATTTCCACATGTGAGATGCTGAATCAGGGGAGCAGAGCGTTTCAGATTCTGGAAGTTAAGTGCAGAACCAGATTTAAGCTCTGTTCTGACTCCGTGGATTTGGGATTTAAATTATTGCTGCTTTTAGAGCAACGTCTTTGCACCTGGCTGTGCCCTTTGATGCTAAGCACTGCTCGATGCACCTTGAAGGATATAAAACAAACCAAACCTTCCTCATACCTGTTCCTACTGTCCTCAATTTGAATGCCTAAATGGGAACTCTGGTGCATGGGATGCAAACAAGGGGTGCGTTTCCATCCCGTGAAGTCACCACATGGCTTTGCTGGGTCCCATCTCAGTTCTGAGGGTGAAGCCCAGCACAAAGCAGTGCCAACAGTCCCTCTGCTGCTGCCTTGCTTTGCATGTCTGGTTTCTAAGGAGCGAGGTCTGCTCTCCTCTCTGATGGCATAAATGGAGAGTAATGTGTCTCCATGAGTGATGGGGACCGTAATTTATATCACTGGGAGCGCATCTGTGAGCCAAGAGTTTACATTCATGTGCCAGGATCGTTTATGTTCAGAGCTCTGAAATGTGTGCAGCTAGTTAACATCTGTAGAGGCCTTTCATATTTTTAGCTTGAAAAAATGGAAGAAATGTTATTTTTCCTTCCATTTGGGTGAAATCCTTCAGTCAAAAGCAATGCCTGCCATTTCCAGGCACTCTTTTTCCAAACAAGAGCGAGGTTTGACCCACTAAAAGCACTCTGTTAAACACAAATAATAACCGTGGGTGCTCTGCTCTGCTCCACAGGCAGATGCTTATCTCCGGCGTTTAAGGTATTTATAGACCTCGAAATCTTTGAGGCTAAAAAGTGTTGCAGAAGCATAAAATGTCTTTGTGAACTCTGCACAGCTCTGAGTTTTACCTGAGTCTGTGCCACCCGTGCATCACTCTGCTTTTTCTCCAGCGGATCTTCCAAGCTGTGTTTGTTCTGCTTTACAGAAGTCAAGGAGGATAATGAGGGAATTCAGCGCGTGTTTGTTTAGTGATTGGAGGTAATAACAGCCTTCCTCGCTCGGGGCAGGCTTTACTCCTCGGGAATTAAAAAACAACGACACAAAGTAAAGTGATGATGGAGCAAATTGCTGGGCAGCACGGCTGGGCACCTCGTGGTTTGCATCACCATGCAATGAAGGGCTCCACTGCTTCTCCCCTGATGGTGGCTTGCCATGGGTTGGGTGCAGGGAGGAGCAAAGTCTGTGCTAGCAGCTGGGTGGGGAGCATTGTGCATCCCAGACTGCAGCACCTTGGTGGTGGGATTCCTCCCAGCCTGCAGTTCTGAGTTGTGCTCCCCCTCCCAGCACCGCCAGCTTTCTGCTGCTGGAGCTCAAACCGCTCCTGGCTGTTAATCCGTGAAAGTCTGTGTTAGAAATAAAATAAAAAATATATAAGGAAAAGTGCCTCTAAAAAGGTTTACGAGGCAGCAGTTTAAGCTACCAACTCCTCCGTGCTCGGGCAGCAGCTGGTTCTCATTGACAACTTGCCCGAGCTGGGAGCTGGGCTGGGAGCGCAGTCTTGATGCCATCATGTAGTGCAGAATTCCTGCCTGGATGCATCCCAGCAAAACCAGCTTTAGGGCTGGGCAGGAGGGCTGCAGTGCCAGCGTGGGATTTGGCAGAGCAGAGGGAAGCATCCGTCCATTTTTTTTTCCCTAAAACTTCAACATTAGCACGGGATTAATCACAGGGTGTCAGTTACTTACAGGTATTTAGGTAGCTATTTCCATCAGATCAAAGCAAATTAGAGCTAAATGGGATGTAAATGCTTCTGATGGTCAGAGCCTTCGTCTCTGCATGTTGCAGTGGCTGGGACAGAAATGGAGCAAACCCTGCACGCATCTCGCAGTGTGGCACGAGGAGGAGATCATCTTTAGGATGTTGAGATATTATGGGAGAAATGTCATGCATTTACCAGGCACCAGCAGCCCTCATTGTGGCTCACCACAGATTGCTGTGTACAGCCCCATCCGTCTCATGCTCAGGTGTGCTGCTCTTCAGTGCAGCAGTGTTTGCACTGGGATTCCCTTTTTTCGCTTGGAGCATCTTCAGCAGTGAGGTCTCGAGCTCCTGCAATAGCAAATGTGACAGAAATAGCAATATTAACAGCAGCATTAACGTTAGAAGTGGCTGCTGATTTACAATTGCATTATTTTGGCCAGATAGTGGCAGAAGTGGAAACAAATCACGCTTCTCTACTTAATGCTTTAATTACTGTGCTTAGTTATAAGAGCCCACGACCACCCACTGCCATGCTTTCAGTGTACGCAGCTCCAGATCTTCTCTCCCTCGTTGCAATCTCACTGATGTTTGAACCATTCCCACGTGGTTTTCAATGGAGAATATAAAGGGCTGCTTCCAGTTTCGTGGCACTGTGTTCATCCCAAGGCTCAGCACCATCCTGGAGCTGCTCTGTATCCCTGCACACCACAAACCGACGTCTTTTCTACCACTTCCAGGATTGCCCCCAGCTCTTCCCCACGGAGGAGATCCTGATCCCAGTTGGAGAAGTAAAACCCATCACTCTGAAAGCCCGGAACCTTCCACAGCCTCAATCTGGCCAACGTGGCTATGAATGTGTGCTGAGCATCCAGGGCGTCATCCACCGCGTGCCAGCGCTGCGCTTCAACAGCTCCAGCGTGCAGTGCCAGAACAGCTCGGTGAGCACAAAGCTGCCTCCTGTTTTAGCTGCACTGACCTCCTGTGTGTGGCACACTGCAGTGGGCTGCTGCTGAGGAGGAGCTGGGTTTGACTGTGGGGGGGGTGGGAGATTCAGTGCCTGAATTGGGGCTGTAAGAAACAGGACAGACTTGGTAGCGGGGTGATAGGACCAAGGGGGATTGGATTCAAACTTAAAGAAGGGAGATTTAGATTGGATAGAAGTAAATAATGGCAGTGAGGTGTTGGCCGGAGGGGTGGTGGGGTTCTGTCCCTGCAGACCCTTGAGCACCTGGTGGAGCTGTGGCTCCTCCTGTTCAGTGCAGGGCAATGGGACCAGATGGCCTTTAAAGGTCCCTTCCAACTCAAACCATTCTATATTTTATGGTTCTGTGAATCACCTGGGGGTGCTGCTAAGAAGCAGGTGGGGAAGGCAGCTCTGCCCTGCATAAGATGGGGCTCAGCAGATGGCAGGGGCTCTTCAGAGGGGTTGCAGGGTGCCCACGGTTGGGTTTGGCCATCAGCACAGGGAACTTCAGGCGTGCTTTAATATTCAGTGCAGACGGTCTTAAATTGTTAATCAAGTTTTGAATTTTTAAAAGTTGTGCTGGGTATTTATACATCACTGGCTGTCTTTGGGCCTTGCAGCTTGGTGGCTAATAAATGTATTAATACCGTGTAGCACTTTTCCTATCCAGAGCGATTTATAAACATTAGGGGAGCGCTTTTTCCTCCTTTTAGGCTGATGGGAAGTGGTAGGTAGAGAGTTTAAGGGCAATTCTGCACGAACAGCTCCATCAGCTGAGCAGAGGATGTGGATTTGTAACAACCCAGTGAAACCCAGCAAGGTAAATCCCTGGAACCAAGTGTGAGTTAAAGGACAGCACTGCATGGAGTAGCACTGCCTCAATGGCAGTGGTTTTTTTAAGTCTTTTTAGTGGCTCTTGATGAACTGGAGGGGCCATATTGATGAGCTGGGGCTGAGCAACAGGAGCAGCTGCTGCAAGGGGAGTAATTAATCCATTACCTCTCCCAGGGACTAGGTCTGATTTAATTATCTGCACACAGTGAGGAGGAGGGAGGCAAAGCAAGACCCTGGAGCTGGAATGTGGAAATGGTGGTGGATCAGCCACCAGCACGTGATGCAGAGGATAATCACTGCTTCTTAAAAAAAACCTCCTTTCCTGGCAGTGTCACTGATGCACCCTCCCAAGCGTTTCATTCTCCCTCTTCTTCTCCAGTATCTCTACGATGGGATGGACATCAGCAACTTGGCAGTGGACTTTGCTGTGGTGTGGAATGGGAACTTTGTCATTGACAACCCCGAGGATGTGAAAGGTAACGTGGGCTGTGGGGGCTGCTGGGGGCTGTGGGCAGCGAGGGTGGGAGCAGCTCCATACCGTGGCAATGGGAAAACCACTGAAAGCCCTGAAATGAAAGCTGTAAAAGTAGTCTATGGAAAGAATGACTTCTAGAAAACATTCAGTGCTTCTAATTACAGCTGTTATGAAACTCTGTCCAGGACCTCACGCTCTGGGAGCACTCATGGAACCCAGACCAGGCTACCTGGGGATGTGAGTGGTTTCAGGGAGCTGCTCCTTAATTCAGTTCCTTGGGGTGACCTCAGTGTTTGCGGAGGGTTGGGAGCATCGCTCAGCACTGCGCTCTCTGCTCTCTCCCCCACAGTGCACCTTTACAAGTGCGCGGCGCAGCGTGAGAGCTGCGGGCTGTGCCTGAAGGCTGACCCCAAATTTGAGTGTGGGTGGTGCAGTGGGGAGGGCAGATGCACCCTACGACCCCACTGCAGCCCCCAGCCCTGGCTCGACTGGTCCAGCAGGAACGTCAAATGCTCCAACCCGCGCATCACTGAGGTAAGAGCACTCAGCTGTGCATCCCGCTGGGGTTGGGTGGGCTCAGGGCTGTCTCCATCTCCCATCTGAAGGGTGGAGGGTTCAGTGTCCCAGTGCTGAGTGCTGTGAATGCATTGCAGCCAAGCAGGGTGTGGTGCACGGCTCCATTGCGTGGCTGTCGCTCCCTGCCGTGCTGCTGGCATCGGGGTGACCACCACAGGCTGGCGCAGGAATGCTGATTAAACCAGAGAGCTAATTAGGCTGCAGCTGATGTGTCTGATGTTCACTTTCAGACCACTGAGGGATGCAAAGCGTCTCCCAGGAGCGTTTCTACAGCAGAGCTGCTCGTGGGCTGTTAGCGCTGCTGCTAGGAGTGACACTGCTGTCAGGAGGGAATGAAATATTTTGCCTTCTTGCTTAATTAACTCCCCCAAAGCCTTGAGCAGCCAGGTCTAAGGAGAATGACAGATGCCCAGGAGAAACATTGCAAGGTCGATATTCCTAATCCCAAACCCTCTGGACACAGAGGTCAGCTCCTCTCTCTTTCCCCTTAGCCCAGAAAAGTGTTTGTGGTGCTCTAAGGAAGTCGTGGGACTGTTGCAGCCTTGGGTTCTGTAGATGGAGATTTTGGTGTTCCCCAGGTGCCACTTGAAGCATTCATTGCTATTGGGCTCTGCACCAGAAGCCCATCACAGAAGTGTATGGGATGTACTTGGTCCTTGTTTTGCACTGAATGAGGCCCTCTAACAGTACAAAACTTCCACCCGGTCTGTGGTCCTGGCAATAAATAAATAAAAGTCAGTTTTCTCGCGAACAAGCGGCACTCTGATCTCCTATTCAACTTATTTGAAGGCCTCATTAATATAACATCAGTGCAACAAACAGCTGAAGGGGGGGCAGTGTCAGCCTGAATAATGGAGTTGCTCTGCGGAGATAACAATTAGGTTCTGAATGTGCCATCAGCCAAGGCAGAGACGAGGAGGGATCACGCAGTGATGACAGTGCTCGTGTGCTGGCTCCTGCTGGGCTCATCAGCTGGGATGGGGCTGCTTGGAGCAGTGGGGAAAGGACAAAGAGTGAAGGTGACTGTGGCTGGGGAGGGGGCAGGGGCTTTTCTCTGTGCACCCAAACAGATGCTCGCTGTAGTGCAGGAGTGGTGCAGGCTGTGGAAGGACAGCACTGATCTGAGTCTCGCTTTCTCATGCTCATTGCGGCTAAATTTTGTGTCATAGAATCATTAAGGTTGGAAAAAAAACACTAAGATCACTTAGTCCAGCCATCAACCCATCGTCACCATATGTCAGCTTGTGCAGGAGGTGGGGCTGAGAGCCTGCACCCTGTGTTATTATAGCAGCTCTGCAAGGTGGGGAGAGCTGCTGCACTGCAACATCCCAATGGGCCACAGTGTGTGAGCTGTTGGTGCTCTTCCTCCCAGTGCCCCCCATCCTGCACAGCACCCCCAGGTGCCCCACGATGGACCTTGAAGGCTTCTCCTCTTTCTGTGATTTTGACTGAATCTCTCCAGCTGCAATTAATTGAATGCATCTGTTCTAACCCTGGGGCTGCTTTATGGCACAGTTACTTCAAAACTGTTCAATTAGCGACCACTAAAATCTAGGTCGAGTGGAGCTTCATATTGGGGATTTTCCAGGTCAGGACATTTTCAAAATACAGCATCAGCCCCGCATTGTTTGGTGAGGCCATTGGATGCGCTCCGGTTGGGGAACGGCGAGCTGTGGCTGTTTGTTGGAGATGGGAAGGGACCGAGGAGCCAATGAGCAGTGCAGTGCTACAACAAAACACATCTTAACATAATCTGGAGCTGCAAAGGACAGTTGTAGCTGTCAAGTACGTGAACCGCCAGGCTCAGGTGATCCCTGGTGATGGGAGCATTAGCGGTGCAGCTTGGTTTGTAGCGTGCCTTGTGGGCACGCAGTGCTAAGTGCTACAAGGCTGCCCGTGTGGTGTGGGTTACAGCACACAGCAGTGCATGGGGGTGGGTTGGGAACTCAGTTGGGGAAAAGAGAAGCAGAAATGGAAGCTTTGGGGAAGGTGAAGGAAAAGCAGCTGGGCAGAAGCACCAAGGACCTGGGGAGCTGAGATCTTGTGCCAAAAGCGAGGATGGAACCAAAGCGTAGAAATAAGATTTATCCATTAAGTTAATTGAAGTGCATTATTATAGATTATGTTGTTTATTAATACCAGCTGTAGCATTGGGAAGATTAGTAGCTCACCCAAGAGCGGTGGCAGATTCAAAACAGTTGTTTAAGTGTCTTGGGTCCCAAACTCGAGCCTCTGTGTTGTTGTAATTTATACTGCTCATGGAAGAGAGCATTGTCCTTGATGAAAGGCTGTAGGAGCAGAGCTAGCTGCGGCTCAGGCAGGCTATAAACAAGCAGCTTTAGAGCACACCCCTCACCCTTCAGCATTTTGAGCCACTTGAGGTGCCAGCTTACTGATAAATGTGCTATCAGCATTCAGAGAGCAGCCAAGGCAGAAGGTAACAGAGTTTTCCAGAGCAGCAGGCAACTGCTGGAAGGTTATTTGCTGCCTTATGTAGTATGTGAAAAGCAGCCAGGCTTCTGCTTCACACAGAACTGGGGCCTGATGGCCAGCCTGGAGAGCAAGAAGAAAATGCACGGGCAGTGGAAGCAAGGACAGGTGCCCTGGGAGGAGGATGGGATGGTGGTGGGCTGTGTAGGAGCAGGGTCAGGAAAGTCGAAACCCAAATGGAACTGGACTTGGCAAGGGGCGCAGAGGAGAACAAGAAAGGCTTCTTCAGGTCCATAAAACAGTGGAGATGGACTCCAGATGACCGTGAAAGGTTCACACAAGTTTGTGATCCTTCTTCTTCCCGGGGGTGGCATTGTCCCTCTGTGTCTCTCTGAGAACAACATGTGGTTCCAGCTTTGTTGGCTTCTCAGCATTGCATGCAGCAGGCAGGGAATACAGTGCCGTTGGGCAGCCTGCAGGGTGGGATCCACCTCCAACCCGGGGGGCTCTGCAGAAAGCAGCCTGACCCCTATTGTGCTTCCCTTTAGATCCTGACGGTGTCGGGACCCCCAGAAGGAGGCACCAGAGTGACCATCCGTGGCGTCAACCTGGGCCTGGACTTCTCAGAGATTGCCCGTGGTGTGCAGGTGGCAGGAGTGCCGTGTGCTCCTCTGCCGGAGCAGTACATCGTCGCCGAACAGTGAGTGACCTCAACTTCTGGACACAACACCTCCACCACCTCCCAGCCCCACAGCAGTGCAGGAACAGGGCTGGCAATGGCTGAGGTGCCGGGTGATTTCTGGAGGTGGGGGTTAAGGAGCCCTGTAAGCCTTCACAGAGTGTTTTGTTTCCTTCTGCGCTGCTTTGCTAAGCAACTTTCCTTCTGAGGCTCTGCCCCCTCCGCTCCCCTTGTGTTTGAGATGCAGCTGGCACTGCAGGCTGTGTGCTGCCATTTGTTAGGCGCGAGGCGCTGACAGCCACCTCATCCGAGCAGCCTTCCATTGGAGCCCATTCATTTATTTCACTAAGGAAAATGTCAACCAAAAATTAGAAAATAGGCTTGTAGCAGAGGACGGGCGAATAAACCTCCTACGGTGACGCTGATCCTGCTAGGGAGGGCTGATGTCACTGCTGGGAGCAGGATGGTGCAGGGTGTGCCAGGGCTGCTCGTGGGGATGCTCACAGCAGCATGGATGTGCCCTGGGAGCAGCTGGAAACCACCATCCTCTGGCATTGCCATCCACTTGGTGGGTCCCAGTCTGATCCCTGGCTCACAGAACCACCCATCACCAGGATGTGTTGGCAGTGGAGTTTTGCTCATTGCTCCCTACCTGTACCATGGATCTCCCTTCCCTGATCCATCAGCATTGCCATCACTGCATGAAGGGCACTGCAGAGCTGCTCAGCACCATCAGTGCCTGCTCAGCTCCAGGCATGTGCAGAGCAGTCAGTGCCCATGGCTGGCGCTGTTCCGCCGAACGGAATTTTGTTGTGTTTTATTTTTCAGATAAAGGACAGAATATGATAAAAACTGTCCTCCTTTGATGGTAGGAAGCCCTGATTTTATAATCATGACTCTAATTACGGCTCTTGAGCTTTCAAAGTTTGTTAACATCATTAAAACATTTACCCTGGGCAGATAACAGCAAGTGTTAGCATGAGAGCTGCCTTTTAAAGATGAATACAGATAAAAGGACCCTCTTAAGGCTTCTGTGGGCAGACTGAATTCCAAGACTGTAATGACTCACCATATGCTCCAGCCACGCAATCTATCAGCCAGCAATTAGGTTAATGTTGGTGAAAGGGCCACTTAGCCCAGCAATCAGCACCCTACAGCGTTGCCGAATGCATCATTTTGTAACAAGGTACCTGCTGGGGATTTGGCTTTGATTGGGAATCAGGATCAGGTGCACCGGGGTCACTCCACCCCCTACTGCTTCCTTCCTGCCTGATGCTGTATGGGGAATGCATGCTGTGCCTGTGGGTGCTGCTTCACTGGGAAGCATCAAGAATTGGGTGTTTCCTCCCATGGGTGGCACTTGCTGGGTGCATCCTCGGCGTGGCTTTTTGCATGCCTGCTGCAGGAGCACGGATTGCTGGGATCATCCCAGCCTGCAGCCCTGACCCAGAGCAGGCCAAGCAACAAAGCAGCAGTGGAGGGAGAGAGGTGCCAAGGCCATGGCTGCATAAAGGCAGAGTGAGGAGCACACAGCACACTGAGGCACACAGCTGAGATGCTTCCCTTTGTGTTCTCTAAAGACAGCATCTCTCTAGGCAGCCCATTTTGATGTGCTGCAATGAGGTGCTCGTAAGAGCTCATCATTAGCATGTGTGTATTTTGTTGGGCCTCCTGGCAGCACCTGTGCATGCAGTCTGCAGGTTCTTTCGTCTCTGTATTTTCTTTTTACCTGTAGTGAATTCAGTGCTGCTGAAATTCTGCCTTCACACATTGGAGCCTTTCATGCGTTCTCATGTGGTCGGGGGAAAAGCAAGCATTTCCCCTCCTGCTTTGCAAAAGCTCCTTCAGCTGCAGCGAGGGAGGGGAATTTGGCTTTTTTCTGTGGCTCCTGGGGCTGAACATCATCGAGCATTTCCTTGCCTGTGCTGCTGCTTCTGCACGCTGTAGCTTTCTTGTACCCTCAGGCCTCTCTCCAGGATGCTCACGACCTTTTTCCATGGGAGCAAGCAGCAATCCCTCCAAGCATAGCAGAGGAGCCCTGCCAGCTGCCAGCCCTTTGCAAACCTCTCCCTGCATCTCCAGCAGACCTGCTGCCATTGCAAGGAGCCGTGGGTTGCAGCTCTAAGCCATCACTGTGCACCCCAGCAGCTCCTGCTCAGGCTCTCAGTGACCCCCCAGGACACAGAGGCACACAGGACTCATGTCAGTGCTTTACCCTGACCCTGTGGGTGCGTTTTGCAGCAGCCCTCCCCGCCTGCACCATGCTGTCTCTCTCATCCCCAAGCAGGTTTCTGCGTTTTTGATTAACTGGGAGACTGCAGTGTGAGCTGTTCCCTTAATGAACTCATCTGTTACTCTAAGGACTTAGCACTCACTTTGCTACTGGCTAATATATTGCCATTAGTGCTCTGCTTTGCTCTGGAGTTTACAGCTTGTAATAATTATGTCTAATTTTGATTTTTTTTTTTTCCCTTTAAATTACTATGTGGGGTAAAAATAGACTCAGTAATTAACTCCTTCCAAAAGAGGCAGATATCAGAGTTAAAGAGGGGAAAGGAGAAAAATAACGCAGCAAGCAGCCAGCCCTGCGCTAGCAGCCCCTGGCAAACCCTCACTGCAGCGTTTCTGCTTCCAGGATCGTCTGTGAAATGGGGCAGGCACTCCCTGGGATCAGCTCTGGCCCAGTGCTTCTGTGCATCGGAGAGTGCAAGCCTGAGTTCACGGCCAAGTCGGTGCAGCACTACACGTTTGTGGTGAGTTCCTTGCACTGGGGGGGGGGCTGAGCACCAGAGGTATCTGTTGCACCAGAAGCAAACCCACGCTTTTCCAGTGCTTTCCCCATGGCATTGCATGAGCAGTGCGTTGGCAGCCCGTCACCGAGCCGTGCTTCCAAGGTGTAAAGCTGACACAGAGGAAGCAGTGTTTAGGTAGGAGCCTAAAAGCAGGCTTTGCACAGCGTTTGCTTCCAGCTTGGTGCATCTGAATAATGGCAAGCTTTGAATTGCTGCTCGGGGCTCCTGCTAGCAAAGTTGGTTGTGTGTTTAGAGCAGGACTGCTTTGCAAAGCGTGGCGTTGAGCTGTGCTCGAGGACTCCTGTGCATGTGATCTTGTCATGGGGTTGCAGTCAGGACTCAAAATCTTCCTGTGTTTTGGGGAAAGAAGAGTAAAGAAGGAGCGCTGTTATAGGGAAGAAATGTCTGCCGTTGCTTCTTGCTGGTTTTGAAGCTGTTTGTTTGCATTTGTGGTACAGATACACATATATATATATGGTGCAGGAGCTGATGGGACTTTGGCACAAGCACAGAAGCACACAGAGAAGGACAGCAAGTGCCTGAGCCCATCCTTCTGTGCTTCAGGTATTGAGGTCCTGCTAGAAACTCCTTTTAATCGCCTGCCCGTGAAACCTGAACAGATCTGGAATAGTTTGTTCTATTGGCTTATTCTTTTTCTTTTGGGATGGAGGAGTTACTCAGCATCCAGATATTCAATGATTTTTTTTTTTCTCCCCTCAAGGGCAGCAGCTCAACATAGGCTTCCTCTGTCTGCCTAATGAAGAGCTGTTCTTTGGGTTGGGGTTCTCTGCTGGTCAGTGGGTTATTTAATTAGCATCCTTTTGATTCATAAACCTAAAGCTACAGCTGGGGTTCCTCCTATCTCCAGTTTTGTCTAAATAGGGCAATTCATCCCATCGCATTGATTTTGTGCTGAGTGGAATCTATGCATGGAGTGCAGTGCCAGCACAAACTGATGGGCTACAATCTGTAACCCAGTGGAGAGGGAAATCAGGGCAGCCCCACCACCCGATGGGTTTGCATTTCCCCAGGGGTGCAGAACATCGGGGTGCCAGGAGCTGCTACAGCCCAAACGATAGGAATGCATTGAACATTACCATCCCTTGCATTGTGGTTCTGACTTTCAGCACCCTGATTATGACTTTTTTTTTCCTCAGGCATCTAAAACTTTGCGGACATCATTTCCTTCTGTTACTTGGCCTCTATTTTTTCTTGCTGGCACCGCCACAAATTCTATTACAGCTGGTTTATGCCATTAAAGTCAGTAGTAAAATTGATTGGTACCTTAAAGCAGAGCTGTGTTCTGACCCTGAGAGGGTTCATGCCTTGGTGAGCTCATCTGGTGCTGCAACCAGGCGGGAGCTCAGCTGTCACCGTAATTACACCCATTGTACCCAGGGAAGTGGGACCTTGGAGCTACTTCAGCTCCATAAATCTGTCATAATTATCACCAAACCATGAGCTGAAGATGGAAGATTCTGACTTAGCTTTCAGCCCTTCCTGCAGCGCTGGCCTTGCCTCAGCCTTGGAGTTGCTGCAGATTCTCAGTGTGCGTCCTCAGCTCTTCTGCCTTTCCCTTGTTTAGAAGAAGAACCACTTGGGGTAGTTGTCCACAGCAGGATGGGCTCTGTGCAGCTCAGGTGAGCACAGCAATGAGGAGTTGGGCTCACGGGTGCAGGGCAGGATGGCGAGGTGGCACTGCTGCAGTAGTACCATGGATAAGTGTTGAGTGGGATGCAGACACACATTGAGATGTTCTCCCTTCATCACCAGGTGTGAGCTCTGTTCCCACATCACCACCACTGATGGTTCTATGGAGCTGGAGTTGCTGGCACTGCTTTGTGCTGCTGTGATGTGCTGTTTCCCATGACCATACCCTGCTTCTTTAATGTGGCAAACCTTAACTGTTTGTGTTCAGACATCCACTGTGCTGTATTTGTGCTGTATTTCATTTTTGAAACCGCAGAGCAAACAGCTTTATTTCTCTTAAGAACAGAGGTGAAGGTAAGTACATAATTTTGCCCAGGCTAAACTTGCAATTACATTGTAGGGATGTGTTTCATTCACAGCAGGATCCAGCATTTCAGCAGCAACTGCATCAGGTGGCCATGACACAGCTCCATTTTGCTTTTGCATTTTGAAAGCAGAGGGTGGGATGCTGCCGGTGCAGGGATGCTGAGCTGTCCTTTTTTCTGCAGACACCAACTGTGAGCTTCCTGAGCCCCAGCCGTGGTCCTGAGTCAGGGGGGACGTTGGTGACCATCACAGGGCATCACCTGGGTGCTGGCAGCCACGTCTCCGTGCTCCTGGGCAACCAGAGCTGCGCCTTCCAGGGGTAAGGGCTGTGCTGGGGGCTGTGGGTTGTGGGGCTGAGCACACAGCCACCTCAGAAATCATAGTCGTGAAGGCTGGAAAAGATTTCTAAGATCAAGTCCAGCTACCACTAGCATTAAGTCAGGCTGTCCCCACCATGCCCTCTAACCATGTCCCCAAGTGCCACATCTCCACGTTTCATGAACACTTCCAGGGACCATGACCCCACCAAATCCCTGGGCAGCCTGTGCCAGTGCATCAGTGCTCCTTCAGAGAAGGGATTTTTCCTAATATCCAGCCTGAAGGGGATATCTCTTCTCTCCAAAATCATTGGAGCGAGGCAGGGTTCTGAAACTGTGGAGCAGAGGAAGGATCCTCACTCGCCTCCTGCTGTGGAACGTGCACAGCCATGAGCCTCCTCTGGGATTCCCATGGCAAATTTGCTTTTTACCCAGCAGTGTAAATGCAGAGTTGACATTTGCAGGGTTTAATGGGTTTTCTTGGGCTTAGTTAAAAAAAGATACATGCAGTATACGTCTGTGTGCATCACGCACACGTCCCCACATGGGGTGTCCCCAGGTGCCCCAATGCCATCAGCGTAGTGTCACACTGCAGGCACTCACATGCAGGACAGAGGGGGCTGCTCTCCATGAAGACATTCCTTGTGCTGAGCAGATGAGATCTGCAGGGGGCTGCAGGACAGAGAATGCCAAGAGGACCCTTTGCTTTTTCTCTGCGATTTGCAAACCGGGAGCTTACATGAAATGCTGTGATGTGTGGAAGGATTCTGCCTTCTAAATCCCAGCTCCAGCTTGCTAGCAGGAGCCAAGGAGGTATCTGGGAATGGAATGACCCTTGGAGGTGAAATTCTCATCTGGAAGACCTCAGGATTCATGAATATGGGACCTGTGAAGGTGCAGCCATGGGATTGTATTGGCTCAGTCCTGCCAAGCAGTAAGGAGCAGGATGGGACCTAGGACCTGGCCTTCCCCACTTGTGCTGTGGCACCAGATGAAGGAGATGGAGATCAGGAAGGGTTGGACCTGCCGAGCTCTGCAGCTGCAGGCAGGCTCTCCAAGTGCTACATTTGGCAACCAGTCCATTGGCATTTCTTCCTGTGTCCAGAGCAGAGCTGCCAGATTGCATCCTCAGTGCACGCAGGTGACCACGTTACCTCCAGCAGAAGCAGCCATGAGCAGAATTGGCTTTCTAATAAAATTCCATAAATATATGATTGCGTTCAGGCAACCTGCAGATACCGACCTGCAAAACCTGGAGCAGGTCTGAATTCTTGGTATGTTCTAATTACACCAGGCAAGCAGAAACTTAAACAAAGCAAGCAGCAGTGTATAAATGACACCATCTTTCTCGTGGGGTCACACTGTGCACTTTGTTTTGCTTGGACTGTTTTGTGGCAATGAACTTCAATTGTACTGGAGGGTGTGGGGGAGCATGATTAGATGAAGCAGTTTCTAATGAGATTCACTCTAATTACAGCTTCCCCCATTCTCCCAGCTCAGATCGGAGGAGTGGGTAGATTCACCATGACGACACAATAATAGCACAGAGCTAATTAACGAGCGGTGGGGCAGGCAGAGCTGGGGCAGAGACATGGTGTGATGGTGCAAAGTGGGACAAAGGGATGCAGGGAACAGGGATGGCACAGGAAAGCATCCATAGGAGCAGCCAAGCGTGGTCGGTTTTGGATATTTTAGGAGTTTTCTGTTGTCTTGGTGACACTGGGTGGGTGTGCAGATGGTGCAGCACTGTGGTACCCGAGGGTGGATGTTCTCCTGAAGGAAGGTGAGGATTTGGGAGGACCCTGGAGAGCGAGTACAGCGTACCTGCAGAGACACAGGGCTGTGCTGGATGCACATCAGTGCACACGCTGAGCTGTGTCACAGCTGCTCAGGCACCTCAGTGGTGTGTGCAGCATGGTGATGATGGAACGGTGTTGTGCCAGGATTTGATTTCAAGCTAAAGAGTGCCAGGCTTTGATAGAAGTGCCATAACAACAGTGTAATGCTGAGGAGCTGCCTGTCGTCTCCCCTGTGCTGGCAGAAGAGAAGCCAAAGTTAAATGAGCCGTGGCAGCAGCATGGCCCTTCCTGTCCTCAGGGACTTGAGTTTGGGCACTGGACTCTTGGGGACGTGGCTCTGCCACTTTGCACAGTGGCCCTGTGGTGCTGTGGAACTCAGCACCTCCATCCCCAGCGCAAATCCGCAGCCCTGCAGCAGGATGGGGGAGCTCTGCTGACTGCACTGCCCCACTGCTTTGTGTTCCAGCCAGCCTGTGCTGTGGGGGAAGCAGATGCCCTGCTATGCCCAGCAGCACCAAGCAGGGATCATGCTGCGCTGGTGGGCAAACAGGGAACAAAGCAGTGCTGGCAGCATGGTGCTCCCCAGACCAGGGCTTCGTGGGCCTGTTCTGCAGCTCATGAGGCTCTATGCATGCAGTGGGGTGGGGAGGGAAAGAATTTGGCTTTGGAGCAAGCTGCTGCATCCCATTTAAAAAGCGGCCATCTGTTTTCACATGCCCAACAGAAGGCGGCGGGTGCAGGGAGGGATGCGGGAGGCTGCAGTTTGGCACAAAACACGTGTGCCTCTCTCCTGGTGGGCAGATCAGATCTCTTCTTGCATGGGGCTCTGACCCTCTCCTGTGCCTGCTGGGCTCGGCCACTTTGTGCATCTCAGTGTACAGGGCTCAGTGATGGTTCTGCCCTCATGTGGGGTGGCCCCATGGGGACAGGGATGCTCTCTGCCCACTGACACTCCCTCTGCTCCTTTCCATGCAGGCGATCCATGAATGAGATTGTGTGCCTGTCAGCACCCTCAGCACATGGCCTGGGGCCCGTCCACGTCTCCGTGAGCGTTGACCGTGCTCAGCTCGAGCAGATGCTGCTATTTGAATACATTGATGACCCCAAAGTGCAGAACATTGAGCCCGAGTGGAGCATCGCCAGGTAATGCAGCTCAGGGGAACTCACCTGCCCTGTGCCATTGGGAATGCATGTTCCACCCATGTTCTGCATTTCTCAGTGCCAAATGTCTGCAACGTTTGCGCTGACCAAAAGTCAGATCTGAAGTTATTGAAGTAGTTGTCATTTAAACTACAGCCATAGCAGCCTACACCTGGATTCTGGGAGCACAAATAAAGCCCCAAGATGGTTTCCATCTGCTGAAGGAGTGTGTGGTTGCTCATTAAAGGCTTTTTGTGGCTGTGGAATAAAATAAAACCAGCAACCACAAACAAATGGGAAAGCTGGTGCTAATCAGAACGTAGTAGTTGTCCAACATCAACTGGTGGGAGCTGCATGGGACTGGGATGCTGCGATGCTAAAATCTCTGGGCTGTCCTCATCTCCTGGTATTGCTGCAATGGCTGTGCTCAGGTTCATTTCAAATTCCAATCATTTCTTAAAGTTGGCGATGGAGGAAATAAGTACCTCTCAGCAGCTCTGTTGCTCTGAGCCCACATTCAAGCTCACTTCTCGTTTTGGGTTGGGTTGGGTGTCAGAATGGCAAACAGACAGCGTCAACCAAACAGCACAGCTCTGCTGTGAAGGTGCTGGAGGTTTTGGTGAATTTGGGCTGTGCAGCTGCAATTGACACATGAAAAGAGCAGCCAGGAATGGAAGGCACTTTGTGTGTGTGCTGCTCAGCAGTTCCTTCCCCACGCGCCATTCATCGCCCGCTGCCATGCGCCTTGGAAGCGCCGCTGTGTAAATCATTAAACGCCGTGACTAATTTATTGTTCTTCACATTTAGTCTCGGCTCAGTTGGTTTCTTTAGTCCCATTTCTCGTCCTGCTGCCCTGAAGGGCTGCTGCATGGGAGAGGGCACAGCTGTGAGGAGAAAAGCTGGCTCACGTGGGCACCGCTGCCCTGTGACTGGGGATGAGCTGGGAGTCCCTGGGGTGCCAACATCATTGAGAGAGCAGCGAGCATCCCTGTGGCCAAACAGTGGCTTCCCATTCACCAGGCAACTAATGAGGGCTCTCTGGTTCCCTACAGTGGGCACACACCTCTGACCATCACTGGCTCCAACCTGGACATCATCCAAGAGCCGCGCATCCGTGTCAAGCACAATGGCAGGGAGTCCATCAATGTGAGTAGCTGTGGGCAACGTCCCCACTGTCACTGGAACCAGTGCTTTCTGCTTGGCAAAGGCTACTTGGGGGTCCGCCCTATGCTTAGCCCCACTCTTAGCAGCAAGATATGGAGACAGGAGTCACGACACACAGAAGTGGTGTCTCTTCCTCCTCAGCATCCTTCCTTTCCCTGCACCTAGCTCAGCTCTGCTTGGTGATGGAAAGTCCAAGGGATCTGACCCCACCATCCCAACTGCTTCCCCGCCTTGTGCGTGGTGCTCCTGGTGTTTGGGGGAAGCTGAGTGTTATTTTTCACGCCTCCATCCCAGCTAGCACCAGCCAAGGCCTCTATTTAAGCTATTTGTTCCACCGTTCATGAACTGCTGTGGAAAGCAATGTTCTTGTACATTACAAATACAAATTGCACCTCCAGTACACTTGGAAATTATTTTGATCAAGTAAAACTGAAAAATACTGTTTCTATGCAGTGATCTTTCTGAACCTGCATTATCTTGGAAAGGGCAAGGCTGTTAGCAGCAGTTTCCCATCCCCTCTCTCCCTTCCCCCCAAAGACCTTTTCATTCTGAGCTCTTTTTAAAAACATCTCATTTTGCTGTTAGCACTTACAGTGTTACGAAAATAATTCTGAAGGCACAAAATTGAGTGAAATCTTCCACTTACGGCTGGCCCCTCGCTGCTCTGTAAGCCAGCAGCTCCTGCTGTGGGGCTGGGGGGAGCCGGGGGTGTCTGCAGCCCCCAGGGGGTGACCTCCATGCTGCCCCAGCCCCATGCTGCCAGGGGATGGTCCGTCTCACTCTCTAACATCAGAGAGATGCCTCTAATCACCAATTTGCAGCAGAGGCCAGGTGTTCATTATAGGTCTGTTTCAAAGCTAGTGCTGCCAGCAAGGGTGCAGCTGGGAAGGAAAGGAAGAAAAAGACCAAGTGGTTCGGTGTACAATCCTCTAGCTTTCTTCAAACATTCTCATTGTGAAGCTCTCTCTGTCTCTGCTCCAGCACCTTTGTGCTGGCTGCACGGGAAGCAAATCTTCCCAAACGATGGGTGTAAGGTGTTGAGCCCCGATTAAATACCTCCAGCAGAGCTGGAATCCACCAGAGCTTTCAGGGAGTACTTAGGGCCCCAGAGCATCGCTGTGCAGGTCGGAACCCCCCAGCGTGGGGCAATTCCCCAGCACCACTCAGAGTCCCATCCACAGGTGTGTGTGGTGCTGAATGCCACAGCACTGAGCTGCCTTGCACCTGCCCTGGCCCCTGAGCCCCGGCCCACCATGGATGCCGTCGAGCGACCCGATGAGTTTGGCTTCATCTTCAACAACGTTCAGTCCCTGCGGGTCTACAACGACACCAAGTTCATCTACTACCCCAACCCCACCTTTGAGCCCCTGAGCTCCAGTGGGATGCTGGAGCAGAAGCCGGGGTCACCCATCATCCTGAAGGTAAGGGGACCTCTGCTCATCCCGTGGGATGGGATCGGTGGTGGGATGGGGTTGGAAGCTCCTCAAACCCAGCAGGGCCAAATGCACTTTGGTGTTTCGTATCTGTGTGTACCCTGTGGCTCTCACCAGCAGAGCTCAGTGAGAGAAAACCCACATGCATACCATGTGGTGGTGTCACAGAATGGTTGAGGTTGGAAGGGACCACTTGGGATCATTTAATACAACCCCTCTGCTTCAAGCAGGTTCCCTAGAGCACACTGCCCAGGATCACGTCCAGGTGGGTTTTGAGTATCTCCAGTGATGGAGACTCTGCCACTTCTTTGGGCAACCAGCTCCAGTGCTCTGTCACTCTCAGTAAAGCCATTAAAGGTTTTTCATGCAGTGGCCATACAGAAGTGTCTAGAAGCATGCAAAGCTTCCACTCAGGAGGGCCCAGAAAGCAATGAGTGGGAGAGGAGTTTTGTCCCTGTTTGGAGACCAGGATACACTAAGAGGAGCCCCATCGTTTGTGCCGGCAGGGAGTGGGAATGCAAAGCAGGGAAACGCACCGCATCCTTGTACAGTCTTCTCCACCTCTATTGCCAGGGCAAAAACCTGTGCCCGCCTGCTTCTGGAGGAGCCAAACTCAACTACACAGTGCTGGTTGGAGAGACGCCCTGCACCGTCACCGTGTCTGAAACACAGCTGCTGTGTGAGCCACCGACCCTCAGCGGGCAGCACAAAGTGACGGTAGGCACCGGCTGCTGCCATCAGTGCCCCTTCCTCTTCCTCCTTCCTGACCTGCTCTGAGTGCAATTTCTCATCCAAAGGCTGCCAGATTTTAGATCTTTATGGCTGTCTAACTGAAAGCTTAAAATATGGATGAGGATTAGCATGGTGAAACTTCTTGTTGCCTCCTTGAGACTCACTGCCCACTGTCAAAGCCTTCCAAAAAGAATAAATATTCAGGGCACTCGGCACCAGATTCCAGCCTTTCCCTGGTAAGATGAGCTGTAGCGAGCTGTGTTCCCCTCCTGTAGAGCTGGAAGGGATTTTAGCAGTCCTTGCAGCCAGATCTGCTTTGCCAAGTGGGTAGCAGGAGGATTTGGCTTTCCCTGAGGCAGAAGGAGCCAGGAGGTCCGGACTGCTCATCAGGATGCTTCGCTTTGGTTTTGGGCACTGCTGCTCTCCCCAGACTGAGCACTCAGCTGCAAAAGCGCTCGAGCAAAGCCCAGATGAGGTTGCAATTGTGATTTATTTCTCTTTAAGTCCAGCATCCAAAAACTGTTCAGTTATCACTGTGGCTCGCAGAGGCATGGCTCACATCTGTGGCCTGGGCACATCCAAGAGAACCTGGCCTCTGTGTGTGGGCCCCCCTGCTTCTCTTCCCACCTCTCTCTCCATTTGCTCTGGGTTCTTGTCAGGGAAATTGTCACTGGGTCACAAACGTTCACGGGTTACAAAAGGGAGTTGAAAGCTATAAACTGAAAGTCAAATGGAGCCATCAGATAATACGAACAAAGCCCAGATAGTGAAGGGCTGGCACATTCATCATGGCTTGAAGTCTCGCTGTGCTGCGCTCTTTGTTTCCGGAGGCAATTGGTGCTGCTGCAGCCGCAGCCGTGCTGTGTATCCACCATAGAAATGTGTGAGACATTTGCTGTGCCTGCCCTGGATTTGGGCAGGCCCAAAGGAGCTGCTGCTTACCTCCCTGGTGCTTTGCAGGTGCGTGTCGGCGGCATCATCTTCTCCCCCGGTTCGGTGAGCATCACCTCCGACAGCCTGCTGACCCTGCCAGCCATTGTCAGCATCGCGGCCGGCGGCAGCCTGCTCCTCATCATCGTCATCATCGTGCTCATCGCCTACAAGCGCAAGTCCCGGGAGAACGACCTGACCCTCAAGAGGCTGCAGATGCAGATGGACAACCTGGAGTCTCGGGTGGCACTGGAGTGCAAAGAGGGTCAGTACCACATCATCCCATACATGGATGTTGATCCTCCCTCCTCCCACCCAGCCATTCTCCCTTCTCTCTGTGGACTGGTTCCTCTTTGGGCACTGGGACCTTTGCTTTAGTCCCTCCTGGAGCCATTCCAGTGGTCCCCAACAGGGCCATTCCCATTGCCCAACATTGGCAATAGGGCACGTGCTCCCACAGGGAAACAGTAATGAGAGCAAGTGGCAGACACGGGCTCTGCCTGTCTAATGTGCAGAGAATAGGATTAGAGCTTGATCCTGATTAAGCAGCGTGCCTCGATTGTGTGGTGAGGGCAGCCCCAGGGTGCCCTGCACAACGTGTCCCCTTCTCTAATGGTTTTTTAATATAGGGCTCCAGAAAAGGCACAGAATGAGATGGAGAATGGGGAAGGGTCAGGCTGCAGAGAAACTGTGTGTTCTGGAAAGGAGCTTAAGTAAACCAAAATAAAGAAAAGTAGCTGCAAATGTGATAGTGTGAGCTCTGTCCCAGACAACAGCTGATTAGGATTAGTTCAGCTGATTTTAAAAGGGTAATCTTGAAAGGCAAAGGATGAGATATGTTTTGGAGATGCCATTCGCTTTGGTATGGGCGCATCCTGGCTGGGGGCAGAGACTTTCCTGAGCCAAAGGTTTCTGCTTTGTAGAATGAGCACAGGGCCACAAATACCACCCTGACATCCACACTGAAGTTCTGTTCTGAGAGGAAGAAAAATTCCTCCCTGAGCCTGCACAGGCGCTTTCTGCTTGGATTTGATCTGCATCGGATTTGATTATTTTGGCAACTGTTGGTAGGAGAAGAAAGGAGAATAAGGGAGGCACCAGGTTATGAAAAGAGATCCTCATCTCTATCTGCAGCCTTTTTAAAAGTGTCTTAGGTGCACAGACACAGGTGTGAACTGCATACAAATTCATAAGCATCTTTTGTTCCTGGCATCTGTTCCCTGCAGTGTGCTCACTCCCAGCAAGGGTGAGGGTCTGCACGAGCTCCGTGCAGCTCTGCTCCGTGCACGCCGCTCTGAGCCCACGTTGCATTGCATTTCTCCTCCTTTTTTTCTCCCCAAACAGCTTTTGCAGAGCTGCAGACAGACATCAATGAGCTAACCAGTGACCTGGACCGTTCTGGCATCCCATACCTCGACTACCGGACGTATGCCATGAGGGTCCTCTTCCCTGGCATTGAGGACCACCCCGTTCTGCGGGAGCTGGAGGTAATGGGTGGGCAGTGATCTCCTCCCCCAGCCCTGTTAGGAACCATGAAGCCAGCAGGATGGACCCTGAGCTCATTGTAGCCAAGAGCTTGGTGTTGTATCTTCATCACGCACTGCTTGGTTCCTCCCCTCCAGTTTGGATACTGGTTTGGGTATTACTCTAGGCCAGCAGCAAATGATGGTGGATGAATTTCTGGTGTCCTTTTGGATGCTCCTCAGCCCAAGAATCCTCCTGCTGCTGTTCCATGGCATGCCCACAGGAGGGCAAGCGCAGTGCCTAGGCATGGGCTGCCTCTGGCTGTGCTGTCAGTGAGTGCCCTCGTTCCTCTCAGGGCTTTACTGAGGTCCCACTGCTCTGTGCACTCATGCAAGGGTTCTTCAGTACTCATCCACTAAATCTGGCTCCTTCCCAAGGGGCCACCAGATACTGCCTTTGGGCCAGTATCTCCACTCCCTGAGTTTCCCAATCCCACCCATTGTTGCTGCTGCCATCGCCATATAAGCTCTAGCAAATAAATACAAATGCTTCATATTTGTTTTTTCCGCATGAAAAATAGAACTGCAGAAGTGATAAATGTGCTGCCAATTACACAGTTGCTTGATTATGTAACATCAGTAAAACCAATACATAATTCTCCAAGATGTTTGGTAAAGAGCGGCTTAACGCTGCTCATCCATTTGTAATGAATTACTTGAGTCTGGTACTGGCTGAAAGCCTCAATTTTTTCCACTTGCCCCATAGTAAAGCAATAATCAAAACTGGTATTTAATTTACTTTTAAGAGTGCCACTTTTTGTGGAGAACAAGCAAAATTACTCATTGTCTGTAGGGCTGTTGGCAGTAGAGTGTAACCCAGGGCAGTGGGGAAGTGCCCCAGTGGGTGTCCCATGGGGTGGGACAGCAGCATCACCCCTTTGTCATCACCCCACTCTTCATCACTTCTGGGCAGTGCTGTGGGTCCCATCAGCTTGGTCTGAAACCAAAGGTTCCTATGCACGCGGTGCCTTCCAGTCTTCTTCCCTCCTGATGGCTGCTCTCTGCCACAGGTCCAAGGGAACGGGCAGCAGAGCGTGGAGAAAGCCCTGAAGCTCTTCGCTCAGCTGATCAACAACAAAGTCTTCCTGCTGACCTTCATCCGCACGCTGGAGCTGCAGCGCAGCTTCTCCATGCGCGACCGCGGCAACGTGGCGTCGCTCATCATGACGGGGCTGCAGGGCCGGCTGGAATACGCCACTGATGTGCTGAAGCAGCTGCTGTCCGACCTCATCGAGAAGAACCTGGAGAACAAGAACCACCCCAAGCTGCTGCTGCGCAGGTAGCGGGAGGGCTGGCGCTGCCTTGTGCTGGGCGCTCTCGTGGTGGTGGTTTAAAGCCAGGTGGGAAAACGAAGCCGTTGGGTTGGCAATGCCTGGGGAGCCAGCAGGGAAGGGCAGGATGCTCATCCAGACCCTGGTCATGTCATCCGCTGTCCCATGTCCCATTGAGTGCTGCCCGCGGTGCCCCGCTGGCACCTTGCAGCCAAGGGAAATGGGATGATTTCACAGCCCCAGGAAAAATGCAGGGATTCCTCCAACCATCATGAATATACTTGACAGGAAATTGCTTTAAGTCTGGCTGTGTTTGCAGAGGCAATAACTCATCTCGGGAAAGGAAGCCGTCTTAATTTCCCCCGTGGTTTGGCGCATCGCTGGGAAGGCACCTTCTGCCTCAGCCCTCCCTCGTGGCTCTTTGCAGTGCTCTGGAAATACAGGGATGGCACTGGGGGTCGTTTTCTTCTCTCCCACCCATCCCCAAATGGGAGAGAGCACTGCGCTGGCAGCAGGATGGCTCTGCTCACAGCCACTTCTTGTGGGTTAGCTCTGAGAACTCTCCTCCTAACCCCACGCCTGGCACAGGGAAACCAAATGAATGCAGAAAGCAAAAATTTGCTTTTAATTTGCGTGTTCTCTCCCTGCTCCTTAATCGTCAACAAACAGCCACAAAGCAAGGCACTGCCTGCTTTTATTTATTGAGCTCTCTCGTGGCAGTCATTGCCGATCAGTGCTCAGTTCTCCCTCTCTTTCTTCTTCGTTTTTCCCCTCTCGCTTTCCTCCACTGTGACCCCTCATGGGAGACAGCAAAAAAGTTGACATTAAATCAAATGGCAGCTCTGGTTCCTGGCACAGACAGCAGGCAGCAGCTGAGAGACCCAGATACAGCAGGGAAAATGAACAGAATACATATTGATTTTGGGGTTCTCTAGGCTCTTTCTGTTTAGCTTTGCTTGCTTCCCAGTGCCAGAGCACCAGAGCCATCCCACAAGCACCCAGCTGGATCTGTAGATTGCTAGTAGTGCTAATCCGCACCCTGGCCAATTATTAGTCTAATATTCTATTAACAAAGTAGTTTATTAAATCAGTATTCATCCCGAACGCATGATTTTCACTCTGTGTTTTAATCCTTTTCTTGGCTACGTCACTGCCTCTGCATTTTCTGTGGCTCGTGGCTGGCTGGCATGGCAGCATGCTGCTGGTGCTCCTCCTTAATTGGGCAGTGGAAGTGATTTACACAGGCGAGCAGTGCGCGTGTCAATTTGCAGGATGAGTTTTTAGGCAGTTAATCAATTCAGGCTGGAACTCTTTGGGGATCTGCAGACATTTTTGCAAATTCCTGGCAGATGTTGTGATCCTAAGAGATGATAGATAACGTAACCCCGGGTCTTTTTTGCAGACTGGTGTCAGTTTTTGTTTGTTGAAATCTGTGGCTCCTTTTTTGCACTTGATCTGTCTGACTTTGTGATCAAACCCTGTTGGCTTTTTTTTTTTTTTTTCCATTAAATGCCAGCATCCCCAAACATGCTGGGTGCTGTATAAATACATACCAAGATGCAGTCCCTAATTCATGTCAGCAGAACAGTCAGGGCAGAGCAGGGAAAATGGGTCAGGAGCAGGATGGGACCCACAGAGCTTTGCTGTACCTGCTGCAATACTGCACCAGCGCCGTGCTGCTGGGCAGCACTGGAGGCACAGTGTCCCAATCCCAGAAAAAGAAACAGGGTCCTGCAGAGCCAGCATTAAAAACTATCATTAGGAGCTATTGTATTGAAATTAAAGATAATCTTGGGCACAATGTGGGGAGAGGACGCTGGGTGGGACTGGGGAGAAAGCTGCAATTTTCCTGCCATTGTCACTCTGCTGTCCCTGATTGCCAGCCCAGTGCAAATCCCAGTGATTTACCGCACCAGGCTGTAATTTGCACCACGTGCACAGAGCTGAGTGTCCCCAGGCTCCCTGTTCCCTGTCAGGGCTCTGATGGGCTGTCAGCTGGGGATGAGCTGCCTGCATCGTGCTGCCTGCATGCACTGGGAGCTGTGCTGAGTGGTGGTATTGCTGCTGTGGGGAGCAGGATGCTCCTCTCCTCTTGTCCCTGGCCATTCCTGTTTCCTGAGGTTGGTTGTGCAAGGATTTGGTTTTGTTGGTAATGTGCCTCTCCTCCTCCTGGCTTTCCTAGGACAGAGTCGGTGGCTGAGAAGATGCTGACGAATTGGTTTGCTTTCCTCCTCCACAAATTTCTCAAGGTAAGGAGGGATGGAGCGGAGCACAGCTGCTTTGCTCTCCCACCTGCATGGGGCAAATCTGAGCTTGAAAAACAGTCTCATGCAATCAAGTTTCTGTTGCCTTCCTTGAGTACTGCTGAAAGGCTCTCTTTGGGAGAAGATTTTCTGCTCTTCTGTTTAATGTTGCCTGGCTTTGGCTGCACCAATTATCACCCAGCTGTGTCCTCTGGAGCATTCCAGGCTGTGCCCCTCTGGAGGGCTCACACCTCCTTGAGCACCTCCATGCCTGCGCTTCCATAGTTTTGCAATTTAATTTTGGTTTTGGAAGCCCCCCCGGAGTTTACTTCATGAAAGTGAACAATGAGATCAAGATCTCAGATTCCCATTTTACAGCCCTATAGATTCAGTAGAGCTTTACCGAGCCAAGCACAACAGCCATCAAGCAGCAGTTTTGGCTGCGCTCTGCCAGAGCTGCTGGGGGCTGAGCCCGATTGCACATGTGCTAATGATTAAGGCAAGAGGGCTGTGCCTCTGCTGCAATTAATCATGTGCAAGATATGTCTGTGGGCCAGCAGCCCTGGTGGAGCTGCACTTCACCCCTGGGTTGATTTCGCCGCTGGTCTCGTTGTGCAGGAATGTGCCGGAGAGCCACTCTTCATGCTGTACTGTGCCATCAAGCAGCAGATGGAGAAGGGCCCAATTGATGCCATCACGGGGGAAGCCCGCTATTCGCTCAGCGAGGACAAGCTGATCCGGCAGCAGATTGAGTACAAGACTTTGGTGAGTGAATGCTGGGGGAGAGCTTGATTGCTGCTGTCCTCCCCATTGGGCGTGAGCCATGCTGACCTTCAGGCCTGCCATGGGAGCACTGCAGTGAGCACTGGTGTTGGCAGTGCAGCAAAGTCCAATGAGGAGTGTCCCTAGCTGGTAGCTTGGGTTTGTACCCAACTCGTAGGTACCAATATCCTATTTGGTCCACTGTCCTCACTCTAGCAAAGGCAAATCAACGTATGAGGACTCCTATCTTAATTATTTATATAGATATATGCAGCAGCAGTGAGGCAAATAGAGATGCAGGGTTTTACCCTGAGGGTTGTTTGTTGTGCAGACACTTATTCTAATAAGGTCGTTAAGGTTAGAAAACACCACTGAGGCCATCCAGTCCAACCATCAATCCATCACCACTAAATTATGTTCCTTTTTCTGTGTGGAGCCATTAAGAGAATGGTGTGCTTCTCCTTTCTTCCCAGATCCTGAACTGTGTGAATCCAGACAACGAGAACAGTCCAGAGATCCCAGTGAAGGTGCTGAACTGTGACACCATCACTCAGGTCAAAGAGAAGATCCTTGACGCCGTGTACAAGAACGTCCCCTATTCCCAACGACCGAGAGCTGTTGACATGGACTTGGGTAGGGGCTTGATGCCTTCTCTGGGTGTCTCTCTTTACCTGTTGAGCATTTCTGTGGGCTCTTTGGGTTAGCCAAGTGGATGAGCCCATGGATGTCCCCACTCTGACCAATGCATCCATCGCTTTTGCCTTGCAGAGTGGCGGCAGGGCCGCATCGCACGCGTGGTGCTGCAGGATGAAGACATCACCACCAAGATTGAAGGCGACTGGAAGCGACTGAACACCTTGCTGCACTACCAGGTGAGAGCAGGCCTGGCTAGGCAGCTCCCAGAAGGTTGCCATGATGAAGGAACAGAAAGGCAGAAATTTAATTTCCAGGCAGACGGAGAGGTCACGTTTGCATGAGAAACCTGAGTGGTTCAATGTGCTTCTGCATTAAATAGGAAAGCAACCTTGACATGGATCTTAAAGAACCTAGCAGGGTTGAAAATTGGCTAAATTAAAGCTGCTAGCCGTGCTTGTGAGACAGAGCAAGGGGAGGGCTGAGCCTGTAGGGCTGCAGGAGGGCACAGAACGGAGGGCAGCAGGGAAAAGAGAGGGGATTCTGCCTTCTGAATCCCAGAGCCTTCCAAGTCAGCTCACAGGAGTCCTGCTACCAACACCATATAAACCAATCCTTCAGCCTGAAGGTTTGTGCATCCAGCTTACCATGGGAGATGAATTCTGCTGTTTTTAATATCATCTCCACCTGGCAGCTGCAAGGGATTATGCAGCATGCAGGGGAGCAGTGAGGCTTCGTGATCTTTAGAAGTCAACTGAGGAAGTCACCAGTGAAATTCATGTTCTGATGTGAGCTGGGTGCTGAGGGAGGGACCATCTTCATTTTGGTGCCTGTGGGAAATCCAAGCCATAAGTTTGGCCTTAAAATAAACAAAATCCTGACAGCACTCGCAGCACCGCAGCTATTCCTGCCACTTGAGTGTCAGCTTTGCTCTGGAACAAAGTGGAAGTTTGCTGCCAAGTACCTAAATAGGCAGCAGTCACACATGGCTCTGGCCGCAGCTCCGTGCAGCCCGAATGGAGCTGTTTCAGCCATGAAACAAAGCCAAGTTCTGTGCACTGCAACAGGAATCTCTCCGAGGCAGAGCTTTTGCCAAAACCAAACAGCAGCGAATTTTATTTTTTTTCCCTCTTGGTATTTCTACCATTTTATTGTTTTTTTTTTTCCTGTTCCAGTAATAAATGTTTTTATTAGGTATCAGAAATACAGATGCTCCAGGGCTGCACAGTAAAACAAACATGTTGGGCAAAGTCACTGCTTAGAAGGGGGTACAAAATCAGTGCTGCCTCCGGCTCTGCTCTCTGGTTGCTTAAGCCAGGATTGTTGGGGTGCAGAAAATGCATGGCACAGAGCATGGGGAGCTGCAGGGCAGCAGGGAAGGGCGAGTGGCATACAGCACATCTGTGCTTTGAGCTGCAGGAAGGGGATGGAGGTTGTCACTGGTTTCTGGAGGACTGGAGAGATGATTTCTAGATTTATATACATACATATTTCATTTTCTATGTGTTTAGGCTGGTAAAAAAACAACCCACTATATATCTGCCTCAATTGGCAAAATGTTCTCTTTGTGGGATGCGAGGACCGGGTTGGATTTAAAAGGGTATTTTCACCCTCTGTAATATTTTTGAGCCACCTTATAGAATTATACAGAGAGCTGTAGGCCTGCTGCTTATTTCTTCACTTTTATAATAGGCGTATGGGTTAAATAGGTGTAGTGCTTTGCTAAAGTCTCTGGAGCTTTTGAACCACGTTGTATGACGTTTATGCAGTGTCCTTTTGGTTTGTGCATATTAAACCCCGTGGGAGAATCCCACCCTGCGTGGCTCTACTGAAGAAAAATGAAACCCTGAATTTAATATTGAATGATTTACAGTGGCTCGTGCAGGGTTAACTAGGAGGCAGCAGAGCATGAGTACCTGTCAGGCACCGGGAGCCTGGAAGGGCTGAGAGATTAGAAAACTGCTTTAAATGACAAATTAGAAGCAGAGAGGGAAGGAGCGTGCAGAAATGAGGATATGGCCGTGGAGCTGCTGGGGCTGCATCTTGCTGGGAGGTGGCACGGAGGTGGCAGCCCAGCTCCATCTTTCCTCTCCTGAAGGCATATTGTGCAGCAGGTTTCCAGCTGGGGGAAGGAAGAATCAGGATATTTCTGAAGCTAGGTTTAATAGCAGCATGGCAGCAGCAGAATAAGGTGGAAAAGGAGCTTGTGTTCTGTAAGACACTGCTCTGTACGTCAGGATTTTTGGCTGAGCCCTTGCACCCTGGGTTCAGGCAGTGGGAGTGCTCAGGGCATGGGGACTTCTGCTGTCCCCACCCCGGGCTGCATCCCAGTGCTCAGCTTCCACGGTGGAGCTGAGCTGAAGTGGCAGCTAATGACACCCCTGGATAATAATCCGGCCACTGATTGTTCCTTCCATTGACTTAATAAATTGGATGAAGCGAGGCAGGAGCAGCAGAGGAAATAGGAAAGGTGTTGGGAGTGTTTTTGCTCAGAAGTATCTCACTTCTGTGCTGTGGAACACAAGTGGCTGTTATTTCCACTCTCGTTAGCAATAATAACAACGCCCATTTGCCTGAAACTTCATCATAATGCACAGCAGGGCCGTGGTGCAGGAGCTGTGCTGCAGGCAGTGCTGGGTGCAGAGATTCCCACGAGACCCACAGGTCCTTAATTAACAGAAATGTGTTAAGAAACACCCAGTGGCTGTTGGATTTATAGGGAGGATAAAATTAAACATGGCTACTAAAGCCTGCCATAACCAAACCTTGTTAGCATTAATGTTCATTTATGGTTGGACTTCCCAGCCTTTAATTCCCTCTCTGGTGCAGCAGAGGGATGGACGATTTAATACCCCTGAAAGATGGCAGTATGACATGCTGGGCTGTAAATCAAACTTCTAAAGTTCATAAAAATTGTTAAAATAAAAAATGGTTTAATAGGAATGTTTTATGGCCCATAACATTATCACGGCTGTTTTATTCCCTCTGCGTTGTTATTTTAATTGGATCACAACAATTCTTGAGATTCTCGTTTTTATTGCATAAAACGCAATCTTAAATCAGAATGACCAAAGCAATCTTCAGTCTGTCCCTTGATTTATCACTGCTTTTCTTTGATCTCTGCTCCTAAGGGTCTGACCCAGCATGGGGCTCAGCACCAGAAGCCCAGGGCTGCCAGCAAGACTTTTCTCCTTGACCCAAGGAACCAAGCGTTGTGTCGTCAGCTCTGTGCCAACCTGAGCCCCGAGCATTTCTGTTGTCTGCATTGTCTGGCTCACCTCTTCTCTCTCCCCTCCCCAGGTGTCAGACCGCTCCGTTGTGGCTCTCGTCCCCAAGCAGACCTCCTCCTACAACATCCCTGCCTCCGCCAGCATCTCCCGCACGTCCATCAGCAGATATGGTGAGGAGCAGAGCTGCTTTAAACAAGGATGTGTCCTGGTGGGTGTAGAGGCTGCCTTGGGTGAGGGCAGCACCTGAAAGAATCAGGTGCAAAAAAAAGCAGCAGCTTGCCCCCAAAGAACTGCAGCACGCTGTCAAAAAGGAGACTGCACTTGTGTGCCAAACAGAAAAATGTGCTTGGCTGCTGGTTTTTTGCAAAGGCTTTTCCATCTGTGAGCAGAACAGCAGAAAGGAGCGGAGAGATTGGAACTAGATGATCTTTTAAGGTACCTTCCAACCTCAGCCATTCTATGAGTCTACGAATCTGAGGAGGGAAAAGGAAGCACCAAGGAGCACATCATGAGCAGCCCTTGGGAACGTGGGTCTGGGGAAGGCCCTGGGAATGGCTTTTGGCTCGGAGGGTGCTGCACATAGAACCATAGAATCTTTAAGGTTGATAAAGACCTCTGAGATCATCAAGTCCAGCCATCAACCGCAGCACATTTCTGCAAAGAGAGCAGACTGTGTTCTTGTAAGCAGGGCTGTAGGGGAGGGAAAAAATAACAATTCCTTCATCTGTTCTTCCTCTAAGTGGAGGATCCCGACATCTCAGCTAATGGGTCAGAAACGGTAACAGCAGTGTGAACTCGATGCGCTAGCATTCGTGCTCCTGGGAATTGGTTATTTGCATAATAGCATGGTTAAGGCACTTTGCAGATGGTCCCTAAAGACTCCACGGTCTGAATAAATGAGTCTGCTAGGTGCCAGGTGTGCATTTATAGCGCTAAATCCACAATAATGGTAATAATATACTTTCATAAAAGGCAGCGGTGGCAAAATCTCTAGCGCGCTGATCTCTCATTATCTTGCATTGTGCAGAGCGTTCTGCAGAAGAGGGGGCTCCTGGCAAACCCATCTCCCTGTCCTGGTTATAGCTCCCCAGACAATTTATTCTCTCAAACTGGGCATCCTTGTTGCAGGAAAGCCCTTAGTCGGGCTTTGTGGTGCAGAACGTTTCTGCTGGGCAGCACAACACGACTGGAGCCCACTGCTTTGGCTCTGCAGGGGATGGGAAAACCAAAGCCAGGTCACACCACGGAGTCCTCAGGGCTCATCGATCTCTGCCACGTGAAAAAGCCTTTGTGAGCCACCAATATGAATTATCATTCCTCACGTTAAGATTAATACTTCTAATTGCGCCGACAGAATTTAAATGAGATACTTATTTACTTTCCCCATTATATATCAGTACAGAGCTACGCTTAAAAATAGAATTACTAGATGCTTCCTTAGCCGTCCCCCTGTCTGTCTCCTTAATTATATCAGTTGGAGTACTCATTTATCTAAGCCCTAATCAGGGATGAAAATCTAGCTAGTTTTGTAATGAGCTGCACACTTCCCCTGGCTGATTTATGATTGATCTCCTTCCTCTTGCTGGGAAGGGCAAGCAGCAAACTGAAGGCTCAACTTAGGAAAACACATGAGGTTCCCACAGAACAAAAGAATTCAGTGAGAGTACAAAAAATGAGCAGTGCATGACTGATGTTGGCCTCAGCGAGCTGTTAGCACCTTGTCTTGGCTCGGTGTCCAGGGTAGCACATTGCTTGGGAAGTTCCATGTCCCTCATGCCTTCTCGGTCTCCATGCCAGTAAGGTAGATCCCATTGCCTCTGCTCCTTGCTTCTATGAGGCTCTGTGATCAGAATCCAGCTCCCGTTGCTCTAAGAGAGCCTCAGAAAGAAGAACCATTTCTTCTGCTCCTACAATGCACAAAGTATTGGTACTGGGAGCAGATGGTGTTGCGTGCATGAGCTGGGAGTCATGGGGCATCCCTCATGGAGCTGTTGTGTTGCAGGTAAGGGATGAAAATGCAGGGGAGAAGCCTCACATCTGAGTGCAGAAGGAGAAAGGCTTCAGGCTGGGGGACTCTGTGGTTGGTGAAGACCAACATGTGCTTTGTTTATAAATACACAGCTTATTTTGGCAAATGCTTCCATTTTGTACAGTATTGCATTCCACTGCCCTGCGAAAAAATCAGAGCAGATGATTGTGGCATTAACAAGAGCAGTGCCATCCCCGAGCAGGGGCAGGCAGATGGAAGGAGGCATTACACTGAGTGTGCCCTCTCCTCTCACACCCAGATTCCACCTTCCGTTACACCGGCAGCCCCGACAGCCTGCGCTCCCGAGCCCCCATGATCACCCCAGACCTGGAGAGCGGTGTCAAAGTCTGGCACCTGGTGAAAAACCACGACCATGGAGACCAGAAGGAGGGGGACCGGGGCAGCAAGATGGTGTCCGAGATCTACCTGACAAGGCTTCTGGCTACAAAGGTAAATGGTGTGCTAAGCTTGCCTGGGAGATGCCCAAGAAGGGATGTCCATGTGGTCACTGGGGATCCTCAGCCCCCTGGAGGTTCATTTCCATGGAATCATTGAGTTGTATGGGTTGGAAGGGACCTCAAACATCATCCAGTTCCAACTGTCAAATTTACCCCTGAGTTTATGAATGCTTCCCTCTTATCAGCAGTGCAAGCCCAGTTTCTAAACTGAGCTGTTTAAATAGCTGTTTGCCCAGAGAGGCTGTGGATGCCCCGTCCTTGGAGGTGAAGGCCAGGTTGGATGGGGCCCTGGGCAGCCTGATCTGGTATTAAATGTGGAGGTTGATGGCCCTGATGTGACAGGGGGGTTGGGAATTAATGATCCTTGAGGTCCCTTCCAGCCCTGGCCATTCTGTGATTCTGTGAAATAACAATAAACTTAACCAAGCTCATTTTCCTTTCAAGTGGTATAAAAAACCCGTACATATGTTTTACTGTTGGATACAGAAAAGCCCCCAAAATTGGAGTGCTTATGCAACAGCAGTTTCTAACATCAAACCCAACTTAGCAACCACCAAGCAGGCGTATCCCAAAATATCCCCCACAAAAAAAAAAAAAAATCCCATACCCAAAAAAAACAAAAGCTGCCTTGCTGCTCCCATCAGGGCACGCTGCAGAAGTTTGTGGATGACCTCTTTGAGACGCTGTTCAGCACGGTGCACCGCGGCAGCGCGCTCCCCTTGGCCATCAAGTACATGTTTGACTTCTTGGACGAGCAGGCAGACAAGCACGGCATCCACGACACTGATGTACGGCACACATGGAAGAGCAATTGGTAAGATGTGGCTGTTGTGGTGGGGGAAAAAGAGATGGGAGAGTTGTGGGAAGGGCTGGAGCAACACAGTGCTGTAGCCCCAGTGCATAAATGCAGCACGGAGCCATGCAGACCCCTTCAGTAGCACTGCTGTCCCGCACAGGTGGGGCTCTGGGTGCCAATCCTGAGCCATGAGCTTAGCCTTCCCCAAACAATGGAGCTATTACAGCTCTGCTCTGCTGTTATTTTAGGATTAAAAGCTCTGTGGGTTGGAAATTTACCTCTGCAAGAGAGGGAGGAAAAAAAAAAAGCCCACAACAAATGGCTGTTCCCTGAAGACTTTGTGCATTCCCCCAAGTCCCGCATGGCTTTAAAAGCCTCTAATCACCGCGTCTGCAAAAGCTGCATTCCCTGCTAAGGCAGTGGGGAGCAAAAAACAATTTATTGAAAGCATCAGAAGGAGTTATTAGGATAAAAACGTTTGAATCTCAAATAGAGATGAGTCTTCTTGAAGCAGTGACAAAGAAAGCACCATGGGGTGGGGGTTTCTGCGCTGGCACCGCTGGGGGCTCTGACCCACATGTGGGCTCTGACCCTGCAGGGCTCTGTCCTGATAGCTGCAGGGTTGCTGGGGAATGGAGCTGAGGGGGAATGGAGCAGAGCAGCAATGCCAGAATTCTTTTGGAGAATGGAGAGAGGCGTAGGCTGCTGGAGGAGGTCAGAGCAGAAGGAGCTGCAGGACAGAGCTGATGCAATGGAGGGGAGGGGTGAACACTGCAGAGTGCAGTTGAGCTGCTGGCCCGCAGCGCAGCAAGGGTTAAGGCTGCAGCCCTCTGTGCATAGCTGAATGGAGAGAGCCAAGACTTGAAAGGTAATAGAAGGCAGCAGCTGCTTTTTTGATCCTGCTGTACAGCCAAAGAAAAAAGGAATAATAATTCCCCTTTGATTGTGAAGGCCTTGGGATTTGGGGACAAAGCCAGTGATGGGTACAGAGGTGACCACACTTCCCCAGGCTCAGCCCCGCTCCTCGACCACCACAGAGGGAACACACAGCACAGAAAGGATCTGTTCAGGCTTTTCTTAACATCCAGTTTTGTTTCTTGGTTTCCCTGCAGCCTCCCTCTCCGCTTCTGGGTGAACGTGATCAAAAACCCACAGTTTGTCTTTGACATCCACAAAGGCAGCATCACGGATGCCTGCCTCTCAGTTGTGGCTCAGACCTTCATGGACTCATGCTCCACCTCTGAGCACCGCCTGGGCAAGGATTCCCCATCCAACAAGCTGCTGTACGCCAAGGACATCCCCAGTTACAAGAGCTGGGTGGAGAGGTAGGAACCGGGCGGAGAGGTTGGAGTCATAGCATCCCAGTGATAAGATCCCAAGGAGAAGAGGGGGTATTTTATCCTCCCTGCTCCTCACTGAACCTTTGGTTCCTGCAGGTATTATGCAGATATTGCCAAGCTGCCAGCCATCAGCGACCAGGACATGAATGCATACCTGGCTGAGCAGTCACGTCTGCATTCAGCTGAGTTCAACATGCTGAGTGCACTCAACGAGATCTATTCCTACGTCAGCAAATACAGCGAGGAGGTGGGTGCCCATGGGGAGGGGACATGGGGACATTCCCCTCATTGCAGCATGGCTGTAGGTTGTATGGCTGCTGCCCACATCTGTTCTGTTTGTGCGCAGTGGGGCTCAGATCCTGCTCTGTAGCATTTGTCCCAGGAGAACTGATAGCTGAAATATTGGGTGAGCAACTCAATTCCTCAGCCTTGGCACGGTGCATCTTGCTCCTAAATGCAGTAAAAAAATCATTGTGACCCAGTGAAACTCCCCCTGAATGTCCTCTGTCCTTTGGGAACAGCATAGTACAAATCCCTGGTGCATTGGTGCTCACTCCTGTTTGCACAGAATTCCTGGCAGCCTGAGCTCCTTTAATGAATGCTTCACTTGAAACCAAGTTCTCACCATCTGTTCCACCCCTTCATTTCAGTGCAAGAAGAACCTATTTTACAATTATGTCCATTAAAAGGAAGGGTTTTGTCATTTAATTGCATGTACGCATTTGTGATACAATACTGTAGCTTTTTTCCAATTAGATTTTAAAATCTCATAACTTTCATGCTAAATGAGACGAGGAAAGTGGAGCCTCAGGTACTCAGGGCTCTGCACTGAGCAGCCCAGCAAGCAGAGGAGCACGGCTGGGTGCTCACTGCGCTGCTTCACCGTTTGTTACTGAAGAATTATATTCCAATACAGAACTATTGGAGTGAGACTGAGGGATTTATTATCAGTGGAGAACCTCAGAAGCTGCGCATCCTAAGGAAGTGTTGGCCACACTGCTCCATCCCAATTTCTCTCGCTGTCAACTACTCCTGAGGAAACAGGGGGCATTTTGGTACTCTAGGAAATGTTCCCCTGCCATCCGAGGCCTTGATCTATCTGGTGTTTCTCACTGGCTCTTTCTGTCCCTTGAAGCACATCAATGCTCCATGTTACTCGCGCCTTCCTACCCTGCAGTCCTGCCCACCCTGTGCTCTCTCACTGATTTCTTTCTCTTTTTTCTTTCTGTGTCAGCTCATTGGGGCTTTGGAGCAGGACGAACAGGCACGGAGGCAGCGTCTGGCATACAAAGTAGAGCAACTCATTGGTGCCATGTCCATTGAGAGCTGAAGGAAGGCTGCAGTGCACACGGACAGCGAGGGGCGAGAGCATGGCACGGATGCCTGGGGATTCAGAGGGAGAACAAGCAGAAAGGCACTGCACACCCCAACAACCACGCTCATCAAGGGGAGCAGGGATGGCCCAGGGGCTGGCTGCGCTCAAAATCACATGGGATCTGGTTTGAAAAGGCAGAAAGATCAAGAAGACAAAGCACCACAATCAGCGTCAGCTCAGTGTGGATCACTTCTTCTGGTATTCATGGAAAGGTAGAACCTGCAACGTCTGGATGTGTCCATGACTGCTGCTGCTTTGCATGAAAATCGTCTGATGTATATTAGGAAATAAAACTTTATTTAAAGGTGTTTTTGGGAAAAAAAAAAAAAAGAAGAAAAAAAAAAGGAAAAAGAAAAAAGGGAAAAAAGAAGGAAAAAACAAACAAACAAACAAAACAAAACCCACAAAAGCCACAGAGATTACTTTGGCAGCCAGGTTCGGTCCTGATCCCATCCTTGCCACGCCCCGAGGATGTGCTCAGGCATCTGCAAATGGACTCTTACACCAACTGGAAAGTCTGGAAGACAGCAGTCTTGTTGGGATCTTATAAAAAAATATGAGCACAAGTTTGCACCACACCTATCCACACAAGCAAAATAGCAGCTTAGCCAGAAATAGTTCAGAGGCTGAGTAACCCGTAGGCACTAGAAGGAAATTGTTGTGAATTGCAAAACCATCCGATCATCCAACTTGTCTTGAAATCCAGCTTTATCTGTGTATTTATATAGTGTCTCTATATATATCTATATATTTTAAATCTCATTTACTGTTGAATGCAGAAGGATCCTGTTGAAGTGCGGTGCTCTTGCAGCCATGGCAGGAGCAGAGTGGAGCTGTCCGTGGTTCTTGCAGTAAAACCAACCCCAAACCCAATGTTTACAGTGAGCAATACTTGAAATGCCGAGCTGTGGCAAGATGCTGTTTATTATTCTCTGTTTGACTGCGGACCAGAGAAGCATGGGATCATAGGTGATGTCACCCACGGGGCAGGCCCATGGCTTTCATTTCCATGAAGGAAGGGAAAGAAATCTCTGCTCTAGACAAGGGAAACCCATAGGCAGCACTGTCAGTGCCAGCTGCTGTCCGTGTGTCTGTCCAAGCGTCTTGTCGTTACCTTCCGTTCTTCGCTGGCCCAATGGCACGTCTTCTTGTGGCCAGTGATGGGCAAATGTCTGTGAGTGTTATTTCTTTAAAAGACACCAAAGCTTATGTGTCCCTTTGTAGAGTGCCAGGATGGGAAGGAGCGCTGTAAATATTTCTCTCTGTAATAAATGCTGATATCTGCACAGGCTGCAACAGGGAGGACAGGGCCATTGGACCTGATGGGGAGAGGAGCATCAACCATGGGAGCTGACAGCAGCAGAGTCCCTCCTGAGGCTGTTTCTTCCCAGTTGCCAAGGAGCAGCACGCTGGATGTTTGGGATATTTGAGCACGATGCTGTGGAGCTGCACCATAAGTCACCAGGTGGGGTGGTCTGGACCTCGGTCTGCTGTGTGCAGCAAAAGAGAAGCAGTTTCTGTAAGCACCAAGAGTGAGGTGGCTCCTGTTGTGGGCTGAGGTCCCAGGGCCAGCAGGAGGAGCTGACGTGCATCCAAACATCTCAGGAAACTCAGTGTTATAATGACCCTTTGCTGAAAGCCATGCTGAGCCCACTTGCTCCTGTGCATTTTTCTGGGTCCAGTTGGTAGTGTGGAGGAAGTCCTTGTGCAGCACAGCCTGGGTTGCGTGATGGGAGGCTCTGAGATGGGAGAGCTGTGCAGAGAAAGGTGTAGGAAGGATGTATGTTGTTGTGGTCATTGCTTTGAGTATTCATATTCAGACCGTTCACCAAATCCTTATGGTACTCTGCAACACTCAAAATGGTTTCCAAACACTTCTAAATATCAATCTAAGTAGTTATTTCTGTGGGACTGATAAAATATGACTACCCAAAGCAAAGACCTGGATGCTGCTGGCTGTGCTGCTGTACAGCCTGCATTTTGCTTTCTGCCCATCTCTCCATGAGGCTTTTGCACAGCCAGGTCCCTGTCTCCTGGCCAGGCTGCATGGAGCTGAGGAGGACAGGGAAACCAAGAGGAGCTCTTTGCAGAACAGTGGGGTACTGAGGTCTGAGTGGCTTCCAAGGAAGGCAGCAGGAATAGCTCTTCATCCATCACCATGAAGGCATCAGGAGAATGGCATAGAAGCAGCATGGTGCTGACTGGAAGGAGTGGTCTGTAGATAAACCACTGAGCATCTACTTGTGATGGTAGCCATGAATTATGGATCTTCATGGTCAGTTACATGGGATGAAGCAACATATCCCCTTGGGGCAAAGAACTTGTAATCTATTGCCCTGCTTTCATCCAACTCTTCAGTTACTCTTTGGAGAGGAAACTGAAAAGCTCCAAAGGGCATTTCCTCTGCATTGCAGCAAATGGACTCAATGTTTGGTCAGGAGGGGCAGTGACTTTGCCTTAGATGAAATGATTTCAGCTCTCTCTTGTGGCCCCTTCCTCCTGCGGGGCTGTTGGTGTTGTGGTTCACTTTGTTTCAGGTATTTCGACATCAAAGTGGGAGACGTCACTTTCTGGAATCTCTCTGCCTGGTGTCAATGCTTAAATAATTCCATTTAATCTTCTGCTCATGTACTATCAAAGCACCCACTCCAAGGGGGAGCAAGGTGCTAATCAAATGCTTCTCCACCTTGAAAGCCTTTATTAAAAGCCCATATACCAGAGTCTAACTTACAGGCAAGCTCGTCTCTGCAGGAGCCCTGCTGTGGAAATACCCAGCACCGTGCAGAGGTGCAGTCCCCTCTGTGCCATAAGGGATGGATTTATGCTTAAAGGAGGGCAGAACACGTCAGAACAGCTGGGTTGCTGTGGACTCCCTGGGGCCTTCAGCGGGGATGGACACACGGTGCTGGGACACGTGGGGTTGGCAGGCGCAGCTGCCCGGCGTGGAGCCACCAGAGACCTCCATCACAGCAGTGCCTTCAACACTCTGTCTTAAAAATGGCCCGGTCCTGTAGAAATTATCCACCCTGCCTTGAAATGGACCTCACCAAAAACGTCCTAACATACCCAGCAGTTTGGGTGGGCGCGTGGAAGCCAATAGCAAGAGGACGTAATGCTCTCTGTTTGTGTTCTGTGTGATGCTGACCTCAGTGCAAGTCCTTGCTGTCAGTCCAAGGCTCAGAGCACTGAGCTGCACACTGCCCCAATGTGATCCTGGGATGCTCCAGTGCCTCCAGCCCTCACCCAGCCCCACTCCTGCCTGCTGGTCTCTCTCCATTCCATTCCCAGTGCTCAGCTCAAAATGGACCAAGTGGAGCAAGCGAGGGCATCATGAGAACGCATGAGTGGCTGTACCCTGGAGAAAAGAAAAAAGTGTTCAGGGATGGTTAAGTAATTGATATCAAAGATGCATTAAAATGCCACAAAGCTTCTGCCATCCAGTTTGGGAATGGCATTTGTGCCACAGTTAGTGAACCATTGAGGCAGGGAGCTGCTGCCCTGCCTGTGGATGCGTGCTGGGTGAGCTGGGAGAGCCATGGACGTGTCCTTGGTGAGAGCCCTGCATCACCCCTGTGCTGCCCTGCTCTCACATAGGCAGGACTTTATTTTAACTGGACATTGGATGGGAAAATAATGAGATTAAGGATGTTGGTGTGCGCCGTGAAGAAGATGGATTCTGGATCCACTGGGCTGAGCAAACCTGAGTGCACGATTTCGGTGTGGTTTGGGTTTAGAGGGGAAGAGGATGGAAGTCCTCAAAGGGATTTTCTCCTCATGGAAGGCGCTGCTCAAAGCACATGGCACTGTGGGTTGGCACCATGGGTTGGCACAGGGTGGCATGGGGTGGCAGGTGTTGTGGCCATGCTGTGGGCACGGCAGTGTCTGTGTGCTTGTTCTTGTCCCCGTGTCACCCCCTTCTCCTTCTTCCTTTCTAAAAGTGGAATATAATAATGAAAAAATGTGCGTTCCTGCAGTGAGTGAGGATGTACTCAGATCTGCAGGGTCCATCCGTCTCATGGACAGTGCCCCAAACTCTGGGCCTCCAAAGGGGAGGGAACACACAGGTACTAAAACTTCTGGGATCCCCAGAAACGAGGCCCCATAATGTCATAGAATGTAGAGGTATCGATCGTGGAACAGATTTTTATTTTTTTCTGCCCCGCTCCTTACAGTAAATAATGCCATTTCTAGGGGTTGTGTGTTGGCAGGAATAACGAATGGATTTGTATCCGTACCCATTCCACCTTATTGTTCTCTGGTTCCTCCCCTCCCGTTATACTTGACACACTGGAGTTCTGTATTATTTTTTTTTTTAAGATGATTGTCTGTTTTTCGGTTGTTTTTTTTTTTTGTTGTTGTTGTTTTTACAAGTGCTGTGGAAAAAGAAAAATGTAAGAAAGTTTAAGTATTTAAAAAATGTTCCAAGGAAAAAGGGGGTTTTGTTATTATTCTAATATATTATTGTGTACCTATTGTAAATATGAAACACTCCTATTTTGCAAGCCAAGGACTCACTTTGTACTGTTGTTATATATAAATAAAGTTTACTGGTTAAAAAAATGACAACAAAAAGCACGTCATGAGTGGCTCCTTCTATTCTGCCACGTGGTGTGTAGCAGTTGTTCTGCCTTTGCAGCAGGAAATACTTTGCTGTGATGAGGTGAGAATGCTCTTTGGGTGCAGGTGGGCTCATGGGGGTCGGTGGGACCGAGCTTTGTCCGTGGTACCGTGGGAGGGGGCTGCAGCTTTCTTTGGCTTTTTTTTGGCCCCCTTTCTGCTTTTTCAGATCCTTCATTGCAGGGGTGCTCAATGTCTTCAGGAAGGTGGGGTGAGAAGCGCTCGATGGTCATCCAGAAGGCAGCAGAAGGGCTGAGGGGTCCCTCCTTGGTGCAGCTTTCCTTGCATGGGACAGAGAATGCAGGATCCGGATCGGCAGTGCTGAGTGATGGGAAGGAGCATGCAAATGGTGTTTGCCAGTAAATCAGGTGGGTTCTTCATTTCTTTCCCCATTGAGACAATCGGTCCTCACGGCAAAATGCGTTTGCTTCCATTTCATAAATTCAAGCTAACGTTTGAGCAAATGCTGAGAGGCATCTGCTGAGTGGTAGGAATCAGCAAGTGACTTCTCCAGCAGCTGTCTGTCAACTTTAATGACCAATATGGTTGCAATTACAGCAATGAACTTTCTCTAACAGCCCCAAATTACTCCGGATGATGATAAGTGGCAGAAAAACAGAAACCCTTAAGGAAAGGCTGAAAAAGAAACAGGGGGATCTCAAACAAGAGGCCTCACCGCTTCTTCTGAAGGGGCTTCGTTTCTTCCTTTTAAATGAGGTAATTGAAAGGATAAATCCAAGGCAGGAGGCGGCTCGCAGCGGGGAGCTCAGTGCTGCCCTGAGATGTGGTTTTATTCAGCCATTTGACACCGAGCCCGCTTGTTTTAGTGCAGTGCTAATAGGCTGATGGGAAGCTCTTCCTATTTGAAGCTAATGCAAATATGTCAGGGAGACAGCCTGCTCCTCAGGCAGGTCATTTCATCTTATTTTCTTCACATTGAGAGCAAAGCTTGACACGAATGCTAGGAAGCAGCTGGGCCGCGTCCTGCTTGCTGCCACCTGAACCAGCAGAGCTCAGCCTTTGCAGATCCATTCCATGGCCCCAGCTGCAGCTGTTTGAGCTAAACTGGGAGGTGCTGGGATGGAGTGACTTCATGCATGTCTTGCAGAGCTGGAAAATAGTGGAGGAGACAATTGCTTTTCATTTGTGCTTTGGCTTAATTTAAATGGGAAAACATGAAGTGAGACACCCAGAGCTTTCCAAAAAGCTGCAGGAGGGGAAGTGATGTGCAGGAGCCCCAGGGATGCTCAGACCTGCTCTGACTCACCCTGTGCTGTAGCAGAGATGCTGGTGGCAGCAGCAGGACCCATTTCCGCCCCCTGGGAACGTGATTGACTCCTTCAGCTCCTCAAAGTCAAAAGGAATTTCGACGTGAATCGAAAGCATTAAAAAGGGGGTCATTTGTATTCGTCTGCGCCCTGTTAATATATTTAATATAATAAGTATACTCAATTAAAACTACATTTTATCTGGCATGCACTTCCCAGGGCTTTATCGGCACTGACAAGGTCAAGTGATGCTTAATAAAGGTTTTATAAAATGCAGATGGCTCAGAGCCCTCAGTCAATTCCCGTGTCCAATGTAGAGAAGGTATGAACCACAAACAGCACTGTGGGAGGCACTGCTGGAGCAGATCCCTGGGCTTGGGCTGAGGCTGTGGTCCTCAGGTCTTCCTTCCAAAGAGCCTGGCATCACCCCCAGCCTCAGGAGCTGCCTCAGTTCCAGCTTTATTTCCCCCTCCAGATGGGATTGGCCTATTGATTGCAGATTACCATCACTCTGTAAGTAGTGGGAAGGAGTTTGGACGTCTTGGAGCTGGCTTTTCCAGCCTGGTTGTCAAGATGAGCTAATGGAAGTGACGCTTGGAATTATCAACTGCAGTCGTGGCATTAATTTTGACCTGTTTAAATTCCAGCGTCTTTTCTCTTCTGTGGATGCTTAGCTAGAGGGTGACATGTAATTGTATGCAACCAGACAGTTATCCTAAATGGGCAATAGGAAACACGGGAATCTATTGCTATTTATTCCAATAAGCACGCGTGGGGTTGTTAGATGGAAGTGGCTAACTCATTGCTAATGGAAATTTATTTTGAGTTATGGGTGGCAGACAGTGAGACGTGTCCAACAGATACCAACTCTGAACAGTCCCTGGTTCTGAAGGTGAAAACTATCCAAAATGGCACTTCTTTTGCTTAATCATAGGTTTTGCTTCTTAAGCACCAAGTGCTTCCCATCGGACTGCAAGAGATGCTGATTGCTGTTCTGCACTCCCTATCCAGAATTTTGGGGCTAAACCTTTCCCTAGAGGCAGATATCCATGGAACAGAAAGTCATGAAGTCTCTGCAGACAAAGGAATCTTTGCTGGTCCTGGTTGGGATACACATAGATGTGTAGATATGGTTGTCCAGGTATGTGCATATAAAATAATGTGAATGCATTACAGTACAAAATAAAATAGATGTGTGGCATAATGCAGAGTGAATGTTCCTATTTATATCCCTGTTAAATTACAGATACCAGAGCCGAGGCAGAGGGTTTGGTTTTAGTTCAAAATAATACTTGTGAAAATGGAAAGCACTCCATTTTTATTGTTGCTTCATAATTAGCTCCAGAGAGGGAATCTAATTACAAATGTTCCATGCTGCCCTATGGCAAAACGTCAAAGAAAAGGGAAGGATGGCCAAGCTTAAACAACTCAGGTAAGAATTAACTCCACGGTAATATCTGATAATTAAGAATGTCTCTATCAGCTCGTCTCGCTATTAATGAATTGGGCTGCTCTTTTCACGTTTGATTGCTGGCGCTTTATGACTGCCATTTCACCCTTAGTGCTCCTGGAAATGGGCTTTCCTGTCTGGGGAGCAAGCACCAGGAATGATGGTTGGGGATTTATAAACAGGTTCTATTATCTCCCCAGTAAAACTGCTGTTCTTTTCATCCAGTGGGGCCATTTGGGCGTCCTCCCCAGTGCTCCCAGCTCACCCCACACCTCCTTCCCCTCGGAGCAAGGCTGGGAAAGGAGCAGGAGGTTCCCCCACGATTATGGGCTATGGAATGTGAGTTCTCTGCCCTGCAGCCTGGTTGAAACAAAGCCAGGTTCATTGATACCATCTGAAAAACGCACTCGCACTGTGATGGCTTTGCTCCTTTGCTCTGCTCAGCATCAGGAGGAGCTGCAGGATCTGCTGTGCTCCCAGTGCTGGAGGCATTGCAACCGCATAGTGTATCCAAGCAATCAATGTCCTCCATTGACTCCTTCAGTGGAGAGAATTCTCCCCCTGTGCTCCACTCCCAGCTTCCTTGCAGGCACTGTGAGTGCAACCCATCTGCCTTTCCCCGCTCCAGAATCTCTAAGGATGCTCCTTCCCATCCCTTACCCATTGCTGGGAGGTCTCATTAAACTCTGAGGGCACTCAGTGGGACTGAGCTTTGAGGAGATAATAGAAATTTATACAAGTAAGGGGTTTTTGTTTTTGTTTTTTTTGGCTATGTTCAGCTTTCACAAAGGAGAGGATCTCAGGAGCTTTTGCATGAGTTTTTAACCATTCTCTCGACGTCTGCTTGACTCTTGCAGCAGGAACCCAGCATCTCTGCAAGCTCAGCACAAAGGCATGGCCTGGGGCTGTACAGGGCTGTATGGGCTGGGTCACAGACCTCGTGCTTTGCTTGTGCTCATACACACTGCATTGTGGCCTTCAACAAACGCGGGTCAGAGGGCCATCACCCTGCCCAGGAGGGAGGTGGCTGAGGGCCACGCACCCAGCAGAAGTAAAGCAAGCTGAAGATCAAGCCCCAGAAATGCTCAAATCCACTCCAGGAGATAAATCAAAGCATCGCTCTGTGCACAGTGCTCTCCTTGCCTGCACAGACTCCCAGCTCTGTGCTGATTGCAGGCATCGCCCGAAGCCCTCATTCATGCAAACCATCCATCAGCCGAGTGGGGGCTCTGCACAGAGCTCACCCCCCAGCCCCACACCTCTGGAACAGCACAAAATCCTTCTCCATCTGCAGCAGAGCAGCGTGGAGGCAGCTGGTGGAAGGTAATACACCAGTGCTGGGGGATTAACTGGTTGGTAATGAATATGAGCGGAGCAATAATCTGCAGAGTGATTAATATGGATGTGATTTTTTTTTTTTTTGGATTAATAAGGATGCAGCAGAGCTGCCTGCTCAGGAAAGAAGTTTGCAATCATCAGCTTGGATGCAGTGACCGTTACCTTAATGCTGTGATTAAATCCACGTCTAAGACACTTCATTAAATTAGAGTGTAAGTGAATTCTTCTAACCCTCAGCAAGAAATGCATTCAGGCCTGGTGGGAGAGAAATGGAAGAAGATCCCCAGAGAGCAGCAGGCATGGGGTGCAGAGATGCTCTGTAATGCATTGAGTTTTCCCATCTCACCTGGGAAAGATGAATGGAGAACCAAAGGGGCTGCAGCCCCTCCCCTGCTGTTCAGTGCAGGTAAGCACAAGGCAGCTCGCAGTGCAAAGGGGTCCCTCCTGAAGTGGGGCCACCCCACTCACGTGTGCACACACCACTCATTTAAACACACCCTCTGCGTGTTTGTACAACAATCCTTTTTAATTTTCTGGTTGGCTTGGCAAATCACAGCTGCTCCTTACCCAGAGCTCCACGAGCCACATTGGCACAGGTTCCCATTTCCATACAGCATTTCTTTTCATTTCCTTCTCGCCGTTGTCTCACCAAGAAGCCAGGTGAAATGCTGTAGGTGGCTGGGATGGGAGAGAGG